ATTTAAATCACACTTTAATTCATGTTTTAAATCAACCAACAGGAAATCTGATTTAAATGTCTGGTTTAAATTAAATTTGTCATTGGCTGTTCATGTTTTTTTCAAAGGTGTGAATCTGATAGCTGAATTGTGTTACTTGACAACCTGGTATTGTATTTTAGAGTCTACTTTAAGCCATATGCAGTGCACAAAATAAATGTGTGTTCTGTAATCTGTGTTTATCAGCATCAAGCTGCAGATATTGCTGCAATCTGTCAGGAATGTTAATACTGCTCTGCTTTTTTAAAAAAAACTTTATTTCCTATGATACAATGAGCCTGAGTTTGCCAGCATTCTGCAATCACTTTTGCCTGGCGCCTTGCACTTGTGACTGACAAACCACACCCTATGTTTTGTTCTTTTGCAGTTCAAGGGAAGAGGATTTCGCTCCTTTCACCAATTTGGATGACACTAATAAATTATAAATGGGGTCATTTGTGGGTTAGACACACCTGTTGAAGGCAGGAGCCAGTGGAAGTATTTTGGGCTTATTAGTTTGTGTAAACTGGGATTCTGGAGGATTGCTGTGTCATCTGAATACTTAACTAATTCCTTAACTAACTGCTGTCCTACACCCAACTCTATAAGCATTCAGTAACAACCCTTTTATCCAACCTGTATCTCTATCTTTTCCAGTCAGATAAATGGTGACTGAAAGCCCAGAACATTTAAGCAGCAGATCCAGCCGGCTGAGCTAGAATTATTTTTTGAGAAAAAAACTGAAATGAATAGGATTAGTGACCCCCGGGGCCAGGATTATTTTCTGTAAAGTGTAACATATCCAGCCATGCTATAATGTGGCTTGTTTTGGCCATGGTGTATAAACCCAGCTGTTCTGGAATAGCATTATGTACTGATTAGACCACCTTAGTGGGGAATGCACTAGCTACAGTATGCTTATGATATGATGTAGTTATTATTTTTGAAATTGCTTAATATTTTTCTTTCTCTACCATATCGCTTGGCTGGGAGGTATCAAAGATCTGGATGACCATTAAATGGCTGCAGAGATGAACAGAAATCTGTAATCATTTGCTCTCGTTTAGGGGCCATCTGGATTTTTGCAGCCTAGATCTTCGAGCGCTAGCTAGATTTGTGTTTGTATAAACCAGATATGTCAAACTTCCGACGTCATGTGATGTCGCGCGACATATCGGAACTTTTCCCCCATTGCCGGTAATGGGGTGGGAGCTGTTTCCTCGTGAGGTGTCCGGCCCACGGGCTGGCAGTTTGACCCCCCTCCAGTATAAACTCTCGGTTTCAAAACTTGGCACTTCTATCTGTGGCATGGCTCAAATTGGCCGTAGAGAAATACAGGTAGTCCTCGACTTACAACCACAATGGAGCCCAAAATTTATGTTGCTAAGTGAGACAATTGTTGAGTGAATTGTGCCTCATTTTAGGGTCTTTCTTGTCGCAATTGTTGAAGGAATCACTGCAGTTATTAACTTTGCCACTTGGTTGTCAAATGAATCTGGTTTCTCCATCGACTTTGCTTGTCAGGAGGTGGCAAAAGTGATCATCACATGACCCCAGGACACTGCAACCGTCATAAATATGAGTCGGTTGCCAAGCATCTGAATATTGACCCCAGGATCATGGGGATGCTGTCACGGTTGTAAGTCTGAAAAACGGTCATAAGTCACTTTTTTCAATGCCGTGGTAACTTTGAATGGTCACTAAACAAACTGTTATAAGTCGAGGACTACCTGTAGGAATAGGGGTGAGAATAGCAGTGCTTTGGAAGTAGGCAAAATACATGGCTGTTCATTGCGACGGCTACTCCACTTATTCTTGGCTTGGATGGTGGCCTGGATTGACGCATTCAGCAAACGTGCTCATGTCCTTGGGGAGTTGCTGGAAATCGAAGAACACCAAAAAAGGCAGGGTGGACAATGATGCTTTAATGCAGGGGTAGTCAACCTTGGCTCTTTTATGACTCGTGGACTTCAACTCCCAGAATTCCTGAGCCAGCTAGGCTGGCTCAGGAATTCTGGGAATTGAAGTCCACGAGTCATAAAAGAGCCAAGGTTGACTACCCCTGCTTTAATGGATGCAAAGCAATCTGTTGAAACTCACAGGAGCCCTGAGACCCTTCCTCTTTGACTGCCTTTTAAGGGGGATCCTCTATCCATTCCCCCTGCCTCAGCATCCTTAGTTTTTTCTCTTTTCTGAAGAATGTCTCCTCTTCCGTGGCTCTTTGATATCATACACCCATCTGCTGTTATTGCTTCAGTCAGTTTTATTTTGCATGGGTTGACTGCAAATCCAAAACCTGTTATTAAAGGCAGATGAAAGCAATGAGCAAAAGCAGCTGCCTTCAGTTCTGACGTCTTTTGTGCCTGAAAGAAGAAAAGTAGCACAGCTGCATTTTCCTGGCATTATAAGAAACATCAAAGATTTACTGGTCCAATTTTCTTCCTTCTCTCCCCTCCCCCCCCCTCCACCTCCCAGGTTTGGTAGGTGATTATTTTTTGACATATATACCATCTTGCAGCATATCTAGTGTGAGATGCAAAAGGAGCCCTTTGAGATTTAGCACTTAAAAAAAAAAAAAATCACCGGCAATTCCTTTGCACATAATATCAAACTATGGCTTTCCATCTAAATCAGAGATGTCCAGCCTTGACAACTTTTAAAACTTGTGGACTTCAGCTCCCAGAATTCCCCAGCTAGCATTGTTCCCCTGGCAACAGACTTATGAAATTCCCCTCTCAGAATTCTGGGAGTTGAAGTCCACAAGCCTTAAAGCTGCCAAGGTTTGACACTAAATAATAAAAGCTCTTCATGTGTTTCCCCTGCTTTCTCCCCTCACTTTTACAGACCGAAATACTTCCTTTTTGCCATAAACCAGAGTTTGCCTTTTCATCCAAGCCATAGTGCAGCTTCCTACACATTATGCCGGAACCCAGTCAGATCAATCAATGTGATCTATCCATGTGGCCCCTACTCGATGACACATAATCAAATCAGATCAAACATGGTTTGCTATTAAATCCAAATCAGTGGGCTGGACTTTGAAGCAACCTGAAACCACGACTTATTGTCCTGGTTTCAAGAAAAAAAAAATCAAAAGTTTCCTTTCCGATGATAAAATTTAAGAAACCATCCAAGACCTGACTTTTCCAGGCTTTGGGGAAGGGTGAAAGTTGAGCCGCTGCTGGATGGTTATATGTTGACTTTAGGTTGCTCATTATCTCCTTTTTGTCTTTTTTGTTTTAACCTTTTAATTGTAAGCTGCTGGAATCATTGGCAGATGGTGACCTATAAGTTATATAAATAAATAATAATTTTGCTTCATTGTGTTTTGGGTCAGACACAACATTGCATGATATAGCTTTCCTTGGAAACTACTGTAAGTGATCATATCTGTTGCCTATCCACTCATATCTTACCTCTAGAAATAAAGTGTAAGTTTTCTTTTCCGGCACTATACAGGTGGATTGAGAAGTTTGGTAGGTTGAAGAATTCTATTCTAGCTGTTCTAGCTATTCCAGGTCCTTCTGACTAGAAGTTAGATCAAGAGGATGCCTTTGGAAAGGAAAAGCATCTCCAGATGGCCATATCAAGTTTTGGGTAGACTTCAGACCTGAGATAAACCCTCCAGTTGCATGTGCACATGATTTTTTTTTTTTAAAAAAAGAAAATCTTATAATTGTATGATGACAATAGTTGGAGTAGTAACTTCCCTTCCCCTGTCAGTACAAGCTGTGCTTCAGTAGTACAGATGTTCCCAATCTGATATTTTTCAGATGCCCTACTACAGGTTTTCCCTAGGAATAATGGAAGTTGTAATCTAATTTATCTGAAGGTCCCCTTCAACCTCCAGGTCTCCTCACCTGGACATTACAGGTAACCCTAGATTTACGATTGTTTGCTTAATGATGGCTGAGTTAACGAAAGGCTACTTTCCAGTCAAGTGACGAAAAGGGATTTTGGCAGGGAGGATTTTGGCAGGGAGGATTTTTAGCTCCTGAGCCAAAAGACACTCGTGTGCGTCCCGAACCGAGCTTCCCAGAACGTCCCCTAGCCCCCCCACCCCCACCCCAAAACATTCTCCTTTCTTGGAATTCCATCCATTTAATGAATCACGAGATCACTTAACGACCACAACCGGGGGTGCCAAGACTTTCAGTCACCGGGTAAAACAGTGACTTGACTGCTTTGCTCAACAATCCAGATTCTGATCCCAGTTGTGGTCATAAATCAAGGACTACCTTTATTGGTTCCAGTTTTGGTTTCGGGTCTATTAGTTATGTTTAGGGCAGGGATGGAAAACTGGTAGTTCTTTTGTTCTCAAAAACAGTCCTAGCATCTCTCTCCTTTGGGCATTCTGGCTGGTTTTATTAGGGGTTGTTCAGAAATCTCTGGAGAACCGCAGAGTTTCCATCACTCGCTTAGATTACCTCCTCAAGGCTCTCCTTCCCAATAACCCACATATTTCGTTCCCATCTTAGAAGCCTATTGCAGCTTTTCATCAAAACGTTCTGTGCTAGAGATTTTATTCTGTGGCCTACTGGGTAATTGTGCCTCTGCCTCAATCTTCTTATTACTTGAAAACCTTGTTTATTTCCCTGTCAAATGCACAATGCGCCCTGCCCAGTTGGGATAACATTTTTGGTCGCCAGCTGCACTGAAAGCAAGACAAATATTACAAAATTCCCAGGGGCTTTGGTTTTTCAGTCCTATTCTCTAGTCTAGTGTAAAATCTATTACATGTTTACAGTGTTCTGTTTCCCCTTTCAAGGGTTGCCATTTTAACCATCGTCCACCCTGCATGGCCCAAACGCTGCCATGTTACTATGGGGTACGTGTTTGTGGCACTGGGGAAGGAATGGAGGGGTGATTAATTTGATGAGGGGAATTGGCTTTTCTCTTAAGGCAGGTGAAGACTTTTGTATTACAAATGAGAGAAAGATGGGGTTGGATTTGTTTGATAATGAAGCTTCTGGTTCTTCCAGGCCTGCATTGATGAAAACATGGAAGTGGTTGAATTTCTGGTGGAAAATGGAGCTGATATAAACCAGGCAGACAACGAAGGCTGGACTCCGCTGCATGTCGCTGCCTCCTGTGGCTACATTGAGATTGCACAGTGAGTTTGGGCTGGGTGAAGATTTGTGCATTTTTTTGCCTAAGGCTCCTAGAACAGAGGTCCCCAACCTTTTGGGCACCAGGGACCAGTTCCGTGGAGAAAGGTTTTTCCACGGACTGGAGAGTGTGTGGTTTTGTGTGCTGCCTGCATCCCACAGATGGGGCTTTGTTCGTTTGTGCGGACCGGTTGCTGGCATGCAGCGGCCCGTACCGGTCCACAGACTGGGGGTTGGGGACCCCTGTCCTAGAACATCAGATTTCTCAGCCAGCCATACAGTTCCTTCTTGGTGCAGGTGACTGCAGTGTGTCCTTTCACACCCTCCACTTGGTCACTGAGCTAGTTCAGGCAGCTACTCTCCAGCTGTAGAAACTTCAAGAGATGCTATGTCTGCTGATCATAGTTGGTACATTTCACGCTCAGTGAAAGATGCTGGATGCATTTGGAGGACTGTAACCTTAAGCAATCTTTTTTTAAAGAGGAAGAGTCTTGGCTGCATTTAGTGTGGAAACTTGCAAAATTTGACTGTATCTTCTTGACTTTCATCTTCAGTGGAATGGGAGGGGGAGTTTTCGGTGTATAGGTCTTAAAGTTTACAGTCTTTGAACTTTGCATTTGACACCCCAGCAGACTAGGTTATCCGAATTAAGCTTTGCTGGAAGCTGGTTATGACAACCAGATGGCCCTTTTCTGCTGGGTTGTAGAGATTGTAGGCCTGATATGGGGCTGGGTGGCCCATGGATCTGACTGGGCTTAACTGTCTGGCCCAGATACCTCTTGGACCACGGTGCCAACATTGCTGCGGTGAATAGTGATGGGGACGTGCCACTGGACATTGCTGAGGCTGACAACATGGAGGCCTTGCTGCGAGCAGAAATTGAGAAACGAGGTAAGAGACACAAGCAGCCACAACAGATGCAGCTCTGCTTCCTCTAATGACCTATTAGCGGGTTCTCCAGCTAATTGGCTATGGCAACTGTTTGAAATTTTCACCGTTTTAAAAAAAAGGACACACTACAGGTAGTCCTCAACTTATGACCGCTATGGAGTCCAAATTTTCTGTTGATAAGTGAGACATTTGTTAATTGAGTTTTGCCCCATTTTACAATTTTTCTTGCCACAGTTGTTAAGCGAATCACTGCAGGTATTAACTTAGTTAACACAGTTGTTAAGTGAATCCGGCTTCCCCATTGAGTTTGCTTGTCAGGAGATCGCCAAAGTGGATCATATGACCCCAGGACCCTCATAAATATGAGTCAGTTGCCAAGTTTCTGAATTTTGACCACATGATCATGGGGATGCCGCAACGGTTGTAAGTGTGAAAAACAGTCCTAAGTCACTTTTTTCAGGACCATTGTAACTTGGAACAGTCGCTAAATGAACTATTGTAAATCGAGGGCTACCTGCAGTGGCTTTGTTTAGATTACCTAGCTGTAAAAATCGATCTATTGGATTCTTTTATATACACATTCCTGTATATAAAAGTACATATATAGAGAGAACAGAAATAGGCTAAATTTAGGTCTGGTAAATTCTTCAGAGCTGCATTGCTGTTGCTGCTGATTATAATTTCCCAAAATTATTAGCATGAATTCTTTCTGTGTGGACTGCGACATCCACCGTGCATTTGAATCCAAAGAATATGAAGAGTTTCGTTGCACAGGTGTGTCATAAAACCGTGGATCATAAAATATGTGCTGGTCCTATGATGCGATTCCAGCTTTTTTTTTTTTTTTTCTGAGATGGAAAGAAAAGTTCCAAAGATCTGATTGCTATGATTTCATTTTTAAAAAGTATGTGTGTGTGTGTGTTTTCTACACTATAATGTGGGCACAGTCATTCAGAATTTTTCGGCCGCTTCACGTCACCGTTTCCTTTGCTTTCAGGGGTAGATGTAGAGGTAGCCAAGCGAGAGGAAGAAGAGATGATGCTTCGCGATGCTCACCATTGGCTGAATGCTGGCAAAATATATGACGAGCCTCACCCCAAAACCGGGGCCACTGCCCTCCATGTGGCCGCTGCTAAAGGCTACGTCGAGGTCATGAGGTGAGATCCTCCCATTTCCTGAGCAACTCTTGCCTGTGGTTAACCTCACCATTAACCGGTATGGATTGTTAATGGCTTTTTGGAGGGGAAAACGAGAGCCTCTTCCGCCTTTTTCCCAGTTGCGTTTGGAGGGACAAAAGCACAAGTCATTGGATCTCCTAGCCCTCTCTCTTCCCTCCCCTTGCCCCCCCCCCAGCAGGGTTTTGGGGAGGACTGGTTTTCTGACCCCATCCACTTTGCCACACGTCCTCCAAGCACAGGCAGGGCTTATGGAAAAAGGAAAGCCAAGCAGATGTCGGTCCCCACCTAGCCATCTCTAACCTTCTTCAAGCAAAAAGGAAAATCACCAGATCTTGTCTATGGAGGTTCTCAGTCATCCAGATGTTGGTTGTTCCAAAGGTGCTTTTTGTTTTCAGGAGGCAACTGGACTTCCTGGTTTTTCTTTGAGGACGTTTCACTTCTCATCCAAGAAGCTTCTTCCAGCTCTGACTGGATGGTGGGGAATGGCAAGATTTATATTCCTTGCAGACAGCTGGGCATGCACTACTCAGGTGACCCTGAGGACACAGGTAAACCTCCAAATAGCCTCAACGACTCTCTAAAAGAAGGCAAATGACCAGCTGTCTGCAAGGAGTATAACTCCTTCCATTCCCCATCATCCTCTCAGAGCTGAAGAAGCTTCTTGGATGAGAAGCAAAACGTCCTCAAAGAAAAACAAGGAAGTCCAGTTGCCTCCTGAAAAAAAAAAAAAGCACCCTTGGGTCAAGAGATCTTGGATTTCAGCTGTTTTTCTTTAACCTGGGATTCTGAGGAGTGGCTCATGAGATTAGAATGGTGGGCTGACTGTCAGCAGCCTTGCGTTTGAGACCTGTTGCTGCTGTGGGACAGGGTGAGTTCCCGTCACATGCTCTAGCTCAGGGGTCCCCAAACTATGGTTCGCAGCCCTGTACTGGGCCGCGGCCTGTTGGCCACCAGGCCCCAGGAATAGCTGGTGAGCCCCACCCCACTCATGGTAGCACCACTGCGCAGCCCCCAGCAGCCCCATTTGCACATGCACGGGGATGCTAGCACCGCCGCCAGCCTCACACGGGCGCCAGTGGCCCGTTTGCACATGTGCACCTGCGTGCGTGCTGTAGGTGAGCGTGACCTGTTTGCACATGCACATGAATGCTAGCGCCACCATCATGCCTGTGCCCATTTGCGCATGCACCCTCAGGCTACCCATATGTGCATTTCCCTGCTGCTCCCTTTCCTTCCGGTCCACCAAGCCGGAAAATTTGGGGAACTCTGCTCTAGTTACTGCTGATCCAGCAGTTCAAAAGTGAGCAACTGCAAGTAGATAAATGGGTGCCACTTCAGTGGGCAACTTCATGGGGGTGTGAAAGAGCCCTCAACGGTCTGTTTCCCAGGCAACGTTGATGTCAGTGGCAAATCCTTTCAGTATGGAAGCACTTTGGTGCCTCCAACATGGAAGTATTGGAACCTGGGATTTCTCTTTTCAATCGGGAAAAAAAGGTGGGGAAAGGAGTTCCAATAAACCCCACTCCTCACTTTACTCTTTTTTTGTTAAGACCTGGGGTCTTAACTCCCACCCCTACCTGGCTTTTTCTTCACTAACCACACTTCTTGTTCAAAAAAATCCTACCTCAGTTCAAAAATGTCGATGTTTTCCATTGGAATCTGCCCCTAACAGTTGTGGGTAACTTGGAAACCTGAATTCTGGTCTCCTTTGGTCCTTTTATTTGTAGAATCCTCTCTGCCCAGTTTGCCTCTGATGTGCCCCATTTGTTCTGCCACAACCCAGTTCTGTTCTTCCAGGAACAAGGGAGCCCCAGAACCCTTACCCTACCTTGCTTTGCTGTGTTGCAGGCTGCTCTTGCAGGCTGGCTATGACACCAATGTGCAGGACAAAGATGGCTGGGCACCCCTACATGCAGCAGCTCACTGGGGAGTGGAAGAGGCCTGCCGGCTTTTGGCTGAGCATTTCTGCGACATGGAGGCTCTCAACAATGTGGTAAGAGAAGCTGGTTGAAGGGCAGGTAGCAGGATATGGAAAAATTGCATCTCCCATTAGAGAGAAACTCCTAACCACAAGAGACAAATGGGGAGCTCACATTGATGGCAGATGCTTGTTCAAGTGAAATCTCTGCCTGGAAAGTTTTAATTTGGATTTCTGCATGGAGCAGGGTATTAGATTTGATTGACTCCAAGTGGCCATCAACCTCCAGTACTGGAGGTTTTTAAGAAGAGATTGGACAACCCTTTATCTGAAATGGTACAGGGTTTCCTGCCTGAGCAGGGGGTTGGACTAGAAGACCTCCAAAGTCCCTTCCAACTCTGCTATTCTGTTAATTATGACAGTAGCACTCCTGCCTCATTGTGGTGGTTCTTTAGGCTTCTCGCAGGTCAGTTGCACCAGTAAGCATGAAGTGTGCTCACACAAAACATCTGCAAACCTCCCACACTCCTGGCAGCATGGGGGTGGTTGGGGGTGGAACATAGTCACTATCCCACTTCTCTTCACTGTTTTGTTTTTTTAAATGGGACCAGTGGAGGGGAATCAATCACTGCCAATTTCAGGGCCTCTGGACAGAAAATGTGCTTTGCATCCACGGCCCCTCCCTGGCCCACCTTCTTTTGGCTCTTTCTAAAGGAAAAGGATGACCTCATTTCTGCCCGATTGATCAACTGAAAGTTGCACAGAGTAGAAAATATCGAAAGGATTAGGGAGATGTGGGATGGAAAAATCTGAAATTGATCACTGGAGCCTCACGTATTTGCTGACCTCTCTGGCAGAAATTCATGAGAGACCAACTGCACTGGATTGAAGTGGAGTAGTAATGGAGTCTGGCAAAGGAGAATGTCCCAGAGAGGCCACACATTTACCTTGTCTCTCTTGCTCATGCTTTCTCTTTCTTGTTTTTCTCTCTCTCTCTCTCTCTCTCTTTTTTTAACCTCTAAGTTTCAGGCTGTACTCTGGACTCCATTTTTTTTCAAAGGCCAGAACATCCCCGTGGGGAGTTTTTTTCTATTTACAGAAAAGCTGAAGGATCAAAACAAGTGCTGTAAAGGCATTCATTTCATCCTTTAGTTTAGAAATTCCTACCCAACATCCCAAATTTCACTCTCTACAAACACACACACAACACAGAAATTCCTACCCAACATCCCAAATTTCACTCTCTACAAACACACACACAACACACACACTCCCCCTAACCCAGGGGTAGGCAACTTGGCTCTTTTATGACTCGTGGACTTCAACTCTCAGAATTCCTGAGCCAGCATGGCTCAGCATGGAAACCTCTCCCTTTCCCCTCAGCACGGCTGGCTCAGGAATTCTGGGAGTTGAAGTCCACGAGTCATAAAACAGCCAAGGTTGGCTACCCCTGTGCTACACCAAACTGACTTGTTTCTTCACTGACAACTACAGTGGCTGGAAGCTAGCAGATAGGAGCACTCTGAAAATTAGACCAGTCTTTGGTAAATTAGACCAGCTTTCTTCATATCACTTGATCTTTTTTCCTGTATTTGGTTTAGTCAGGCTATAGTTCTGTTAACAAATTCAGAGGAGGAGGAGGAGGAGAAGGAGCAGAGATTTGAAGACATTTGCAGTTGTTGTGCCCATTGTATTTTTTTTATCTTCTTTTGCTGGCTGGTAGAGTTTTGAGGCAATTCTGCTGTGACGCCTCTTGTCCCCCCACCCCGATTTTCTTTCTTTTCTCCCACAGGGCCAGCGTCCCTGCGATCTTGCAGATGAAGATACTTTGTCGCTGCTGGAAGAGCTGCAGCATAAACAAAATGATGTGAGTGATGGGTTGTTGGAAGCTTTTTTTTTTTTTGTCAATTTCATTTTTGTTGTGGATAGAGAAGGGCATTGTGATAGACTTTTGTATTTGTACAGAAAGTTTCTAACATCTGAAGATCTGGTGCTTAGGCCACTTTCTGTGTGGGATTCTTCCAGGTTTGGAAGACTTTTTAGGAGAGAAGGCCTCTGCAGGAGATCTTGCAAAGGGTAGTTTGGGGAGCTGAGTTCGAGAAGATCCTCCTTGTGGGATGATCCCAGGTCTTCCCCCAAGCCACTCTTCCTTACAATCACTGACTGGAAGTCTCTGAGTGAACAAAATAATTAAAATAATTAAACAGTTTCCATTTTAAATAATATATAAACAACATCAGATTAAAATTAGGTCGTTGAGGCAGTCACAGAGCATGCCTGGTTTTACAGACGATATAACAAAATTTAGCCGTGTGGTAAGAAACGAAATTGATAAAAAGAGGTGAAACCAATGGGAGAATTCTCCTATCAATGTGGATCAGAGAGACTGTTTTTCAGTTCCAGTGGTTAATTCTAGATTCATGAAGCCCCATAACTTGAGGGGGGATGGGATCTCTTATGTCCCCACTGCTATTGATCCATTGACAGAGGAAGGAAATAACCAGGGAGTTTTGCCCAGCTTGTGCCGGTTACATCCCTACCTGTACTGGGAGGAACTGGTAAAGATAAATTGCACTCTTTTTACACATCTAGTCTACTACATTGTGATTTGCACAAGATTTGCCTTTGAAGACCACTTGGAAACTGCCCTTTGCTGGCAGGTAAGAAGTGCCCTAGTCATGTAACATTGTTGCTGCGTTGGCTTCTAACAGCTTGACAACTTGGCTGATGGGACTATCTTTTCCAACCAGAAATGATCCCACTTGGTATGTGTATTTCTAGAGAATCTGCTAGTAATTCCATAATTGTAATATGAGGAGACAGCTGGGTTTTTCCCCCCAATGATGTCATTCCCCTCCAGAAGTTAGATTAGCTCCCATTCTAATAATATTCCAAAAATGTGTTAAAACAGCTTTTCTAGACCGCACTTGGAGAATTGGTGGAATGGCTTAGCACAGTGTTTCCTAAACTTGGCAACTTTTAAGATGTGTGGATTTCAATTCCCAGAATTCTCCATCCAGCCATGCTTGATCTGTGATTTTTTATTTATTTAACTGCTTCAGCTTCTATTGTTGTATTTGTGTGCTTTGTATTTCTTTTGGATCTTTTATATGCTCATTGTTAACTATCAGGAGCCCTTAAGGATTCAGGGCTTATAATAGTTGCAAAACCAATAAAAGCATTTTGAATCAGGACTGTAACTTTTTCAGGCCCCTCATTGGCGGAATTCAGCTTTAAAGAACTATTTATTCCACATTATTTTAGCTACCTTTCTTTACAGTAATTCATTTCAGATTTCTTGCACAGTTATATGCTTGCTGATACAATTTATCCTAATAATGATCTAATTATAGGGATTCCTTAAGATGTGATTTTTTTATGTTTTTATGCAAGCTGCCTTCAAAGGCCTTTGGCCCTGAAAATATATATAAGATGATAAACCCTTGAGGGGTATGGAGAAGACCAGGTCTGATATGGCTAACAGATCAATTTTATACCAAAATTGTCTGAATAGAATAAGTTCTTTTTTGTGGTGTCCTGTGATTGTAAAACATTTTCGGTTGGTGCCTTGCCTGATGAGTTTTAAGCTCTAATGTAAAATTTGTGTATTTGCCTGCGCATTGATATATCAGAGTTGCCTTAACTACTACAGCTTGGTTTTTTTTAATCACGCTTTAGTTAAATTTGACAATCATTGTATATTGCTGAGACTTTAATCTTATTTTTTAAAGGTCAGCTGTGTAAGCTTGCCTATGCCAATGTGTACTTTGTCCTAAATATACCATAATCCATTACTAAGAAATGCTAATTTGCTGTGTGTGTGTGTGTCTATTGCACAGATCAGGCAACCAGAAACCCTGCATTTGCTTTTTGTAACAGTTTTGGACATTTGGTTGATGTGGGTGAATGTTTTTTTTAGCATTCCAGTGCATTTGTTATTTAATTGACACATAAGGAGATACACCACCCAAACTCTGTTCCTTCCATTGCCTTTTTGCATGGCCCTCAAGAAGTGTTGCGAGCTGGAAGGCTAAAGAAATACGGATGGCCCTTAGGGCAGAAGGTCACGGAGGGAGGCCAGCATGCCTGTCAACTTGAGTTTTGCCAGCCTGAGGGTTGCATTTCTGAAACTGCCGGGTGGGCCTCCCAGAGGCGGCTGATCTGGGGAAGCCGATCAGCCTCCCTCTCCATCTGTTTCAGGCTTACGGTAGAGTGGGGTGGGGATGGGGGGGGGGGAGGAAGGAAGATAAAGAGAGAGAGAAAAAAGGGCTGGTTCCCAAGGGAAAGCAGGCAGGATGGGCCTCCCTCCTGCCTCAGCTTTCTGCCCTTTCCAGCTGTGGATTGGAACCAGATCAGCCTCCAAGTCCTTTGCAAAGCTGAAAGGCGCTTTCTTTGCATTCTTTCTTTTTGTAAATCGACTTGGAAGTTTTCCTATGAGAACCAGTTGAAGGAGCAGCCTGTCCCAGTAAAAGACAGGAGGGGGAGAGGTGTGTGGAGTGGGTGAAGCTGCATCTGAAGGGACCCAGGGTTCAAGGTCCTGTCCCACCTTCTGAGCGATAAAAGATAAAAGCCAAAGCATTCACAGCTTTTTCAGTTGCAAAAAAAGTACATCTGAGGGGGGAGGAGGGGGGGAGAATGTGATGAGAAACCAGTGGAATGAGGTGGGGGGTTCCCCTGTTTTCTTTTGCTCTTTCCCCGGCCATAGGAATCATAGGCTGAAGATTAAGGACTGACTTGGGGCCTTCTACAGTTAACTTATAGCATAAAGTATTGCAAGTCAAAGCCTCTGTTCTTAAAGGGGATGGCCCAGATTGATATTCCTCCAGTGGCCGCCATCTTATTAAAAATAATAATAGCAATAGCACTTGGACTTATATACAGATCTACAGTGCTTTACAGCCCTCTCTGAGTGGTTTACAGAGTCAGCATTTTGCCCCCAACAATCTGGCTCCTCATTTTACCGAACTTGGAAAGATGGAAGGCTGAGTCAACCTTGAGCTGGTCAGGATCGGACTCCTGAGAGTGGGCAAAGTTAGTCAGCAATACTGCATTCTAACCACTGTTGTCCACCATGGCTCACTAAAAAAGCAGTATTTTTTTTTAAAAAAAAAATCCTGCCTTTATTATTTTTATAAATAAGATAGCGAACATATTCCTTTTTCTTCCTCTTTTCCCCACAACAACCAGAGGAGTTGGGCTGAGAGATTTGCAGGATCATACATTACAACACTACAACCCCAAAGCACAAGGGCCATGCTGGCTGTTGTCCAACACATCTGGAAGAGGATACTAGTTAGGGAATAGGTGGTTGGTTGAGATCTGGCACATCTTTCTAGATCAGGGGCAGACAACTTTGGCTCTTTTATGACTCGTGGACTTCAACTCCCACAATTACTGAGCCAAGCTGGCTCAGCAATTCTGGGAGTTGAAGTCCACAAGTCATAAAAGAGCCAAGGTTGCCTGCCCCTGTTCTAGATGTTGCTCATACGACTTCTCCTCTGCTTCCAAGTATCATACTGCAGAGGGCAAATAGTCTTTTGCACTGCGCTGAAAAGCTACGAATGGACCTATCTTTTCAAAGCGGTGAGCACTTCTCTAAACTTAGCAGTCACAGTTTCAGTTTGATTCCTGTTGCCTTTTTTGTTGTGAATCACAAAAATTTGCTACTGTCCTTGATCTTGACCAGTCCAAGATAGCAGTAGCTGCTGAAAAGTTTGTTTGCCCCTCTGGTATCTCATATACAGAGGAGCAGATTTTTGTCACATTCCACCCGAACAAAAACAATGAAGGCTGCATTTTGTGCAAGTGGAATAAAAGTTTTGATTTGCTTCTCTCCCCTTTTATCATTCAGTTGCGCAGCAAAAAGGAAGCCCATCGGCAGGCTGTGATTGACACCAGTTTGGAACAGCCCCCCTCGTACACAAGCAAACATCGAAGGTCAGCACTAGAAGTATTATTAGATATTGTACTCTTATGGAAAATACCAAGTCTTCAGTTCCACGTAACTCCCTCAGCCTTTGTTTTCAGACATTGGTAATTTAAGGTTTTAATCTAGGTTTTTTTAGCCCTGGAATCAGATATGTGAAATCCACGCCATCACACCTCCAGCAAAAAGTGGCAAGACAAGTTTGGAGGGAGAATCTTTACTTGATGTACAGCAAGTCTGACAAGAATTTGCCGAAGAAATGTTTATGGTTTGAAATTGCAGCTGTCAGATTCGTCTTTCTGTTTGTGGTTCATATGTTGAGCCTGTGCCAATTACAAGAGTCTGTTATCCGGAAAGAAAATCTCCTAGCAAGAACCGTCTGCTGTCGTGCTCGGAGTAGGACTTCGTTGGGCACATCATAGAGGGGTTTGGGATTTGTAAGCGGATTGTAGGGGTGCCATTTTCTCAAATGGCTTTTGCCTTAGGAACCATTGTAAATGTGAGTCAGTGGCTTAGTTGCCAAGCATCCAAATTTTGGTCATGTGACCACGAGGATGCTGAAATGGTCATAAGTGTGAAAAATGGTCAGAAATCACTTTTTCCAGTGCCGTTGGAACTTTAAATGGTCACTAAATGAATTGTTGTAAGTCGAGGATCACCTGTACATACATAATTTGTGGTATATATCTGTGGCAGGGTAAGCAAGCAAGATCCTCCCAGCTTCTCCTCCTGTCCATCTCTTCCTTTGATTCTCCTAGGAGCTCCGTGTGTCGCATGAGCAGCAAAGAAAAGATCTCGGTCCAAGACCAGTCAAAGGAGCGGAAGACCTTGGGTACCATTGCTGTGGGCGAAGAGGAGACCAGTTCGGCTTCGGAGGGGGATGAAATACCAGAGTCCAATGGTGAGGGGGGGGGCGGAATGCAGCAGCCCAGGCCCTCATTCTAAGAGGTCACAATGGGCTGATTGCTAATTGCTTCCCCATCTGTTGCAGAAGTGAAGGCTGTTCCCCCAACAGACAGCAGTGCAGTGAACGGCGTGTCTGTGACTCCCGTTAGGCCTCTGTCCCCATGTCCTCTTGGCCCAAAGGTAAGGCAAGACATTGTGGTGGCAAAGGAAGTCAGGTGTTTTTGAACTTCCTCTCTCCGTTGTCTCAATTTCCTTCTCCAGTTGTGAATCCAGATAGGATCATTGCAGGTGCTGTGATGTAGCTAAGATCCAACAATTTTACTAGAGCCCAGGATAGAGGGTGACAAGCCCTGCAGGGGTTCCAGTCACTTTGCCATCCCAGTTCATTCATGCCACTTAATATGGGGATTGCAGGTATTCATGTGCCCCTGAGCACAGGCTGCATATACAGCAGAATAATACTGGACTGTAACAAAGGTGTATTTTCAGGAGGCAACTGGACTTCCTTGTTATTCTTCAAAGTTGTTTCACTTCTCATCCAAGAAGCTTCTTCAGCTTTGACTGGATGAGAAGAAGCTTCTTCAGCTCCAAGTGGCCCCAATGACTCTCTAAAAGAATGCAAATGACCAACTGTCTGCAAGGAGTATAAATCCTTCCGTTCCTCACCATCCAGCCAGAGCTGAAGAAGCTCCTTGGATGAGAAGTGAAACGTTTTCAAAGAAAAACAAGAAAGTTCAGTTGCCTCTTGAAAAAGCACCCGTGGGACAACCATGACCTGGATGACTGAGCATCCTCATAGACCCTGGACTGTACCATTTCAGAGTACAAGTACAGTAGTCCTCAACTTATGATCATAATTGAGCCTGCAATTTAGAGTCGTAAGTTGTGATGGTCCTAAAGCAGATTACCACACGATCACATCTGATTTTATTACCTTTTTTGGATGGTTATAAAGTTTTATTATAAAGCAAACTCTATGGTCATTAAGCAAATCCATTGTTCTCTATGGGATATTTGCTGGAAAGGGGAAGGTTTTTTTCAGTTTCCAGCAAAAATGTCGTAAATCAAGGACACATGATGCAGATGGCCGTAAATGTGGGGCAGTTGCCAAGCATCCAAAATCCAGCCATGTGGCCATGGAGGGGGGGGCAGACGTCAGAACTTTGAATCTAGGCTTTAAGTCCCTTTTTCAGGTTCCTGCATAATTTTGAATGGTAGCTAAGCAACTGGTAGTAAATTAAGAAGTACCTGTAGACCAGGGATGTTAAGTCCAATCGCATTTGTATTGTGATGTATCGGGATGTTTTTTTGCCCTTGTGGGGCTGGGGTGGGTGTGGCCTGCGCAGGCCGCATTTGGGCCGCTGGCAGCGTGTTGGACATGCCTGCTGTAGAGGAATTTCACTAGCAACATTTCTGTCCTCAAGGAGATAAGTAGCACAGCTGAGGCTAGCAAGGCCTAAATATTGTGCCTCGGCTGGTTACGTTTGATGAATCATATAACTTTCAAATACTCAGCAAAGTTTTCCACAGAGTTTTTCTTTGCAAAAGGAGCCCCTGAACTCTTAATTTCACAGAAGAAATAGAAAGAAAGAGAGACCTTAGTAGTCCTGCACTTGGTGTAGTCCACCTCTAAATAAGAAATAATCTTCCCCTTAGAAATGTCACCTTTTCTTTTCTTCCAGCCCTCCATCAGTTCTCCATGGTTGCTTGCTCTTTTGCACAAAGCATGTGATGAATTCAACTTAGTGCACTTTTTCTTTTTAGCATGCCTTCATCTAGCATGCTTGATTAACCCTTTATTGCTCGCGTCTGACTTTTCCCCTGCTTGGGATGCTGCCACAAGCAAGTCTCAGGGACTACATTTGCAAAGAGGCCTTTCCGTTCCGTTGGTCAGACCTCCTCCGCCTCTGTTCCCCATCTTGTTGCTGTCATCTCTTATCTGTATAAAATACCTTGAACTTTCTGTTTTCTTTTCCTCTTTTCCCTGTTTTGACATTTGTTCCTGTGTCTTCCGTCCATTGTGAAATGGATCTCCTTCCTCCTCCTTGCTTTCTCATCCCACCTGCTCACTCCAGCCACAGTTTGCCTTCATTTTGCCTCTGCTGCCTATCCCAAACCCTCTGGTTCCTTCCACGTGGAAACAACACTTGCGTAAAACGGGGATCATTCTGGTGCCCCAGAAGGGACAAACGGCTGCTGTGAGTGTCCCACCTAAATGAATGACGGAGGAGCCAAGAGGGGTGTGTCTTTGTGTGGTTGCCTCCAGGAAGCCCAAAGTAGGGCTTAAAATTCTAAATCGGCAACCGATTGAGTGGAGTGGTGAGAGGCTTCTTCACTGGAACCCCAGCCTGCTGTTCTCTTGGCTGTTCATCCCTTTGGTATGCATAAGATTAAAGGAAAATACTGACTCTGTCCATGCCACTGTGGGAAGATTCTGCAAGCATCTCCTGGCTACTGTGTGAAACAGGATGCGGGGCTGTGGATAATGCTGCAGTTTCCTCTCTCTGCACGGTGGGGAGCTGTGTTTTACTTTATCTGTGCATTATAAGGATGCTAGCATTTGGGAAGAGAAAATAGTTTAGCAGCTTAAAGACGCCCGAGGGAGGAAATGAAGAGGGCCGCTAGGATTATAAGCTACTGGGGTCAAGTAGTACTTCAGTAGGGAGGTTGGCCTTGGGCTACAAGAACCATGAGCTTGAATTCTAAAGCCCAAAGCAGTTTGTCCCTTCTCTGGAAGAAGATAGGGGGAAAGGAGGGAAAACAGTGTGTTACAGATAACACAACTGGGGAGGGGGAAGGACAAAGAGGGAAGCACATTGGTCCCATCTCCTGCTTGCCACTGGCATTCTCCAGCATTACTTTTGAAGGAATGTAGCTCTTGATGGGGCAGGCAGGAAGATTGCCTGCTCTGGTGACAGGATATCCAGATAAGAGTGAATCATAGAGCTGGGCTGCAATATCTGTGTGAAGCAGACAAGGGAATCCCATCAACCAAGGTGAAGTTCTTCCAGAATGGAGAGCCTGGGAAATGTAGCAGACACAATTTTTCGGAAACTTCCTGAAAAATGTGGTGATGCAGTGAGGCAGCTTTCCAGGACTAGCTGCCCCCTCCGCCCTGATGGCATTTTGAAATTCTGTGCTGATTGCGATTCTGGGCAGCTCTTCTTGACACGAGCATTGGCTTTTCCATTTTGGAGTTTACATGGGCAAGGGCTTCCTGATGGGACGAGAGGAACAGATCGCCTCATCTGGCAAAGACTCTGGACTATCAGAAGTGGGAGAGGGCAACCTTGAGGTTCTCTGTGGTCCTTTATGCTGTGTTCGTATTTATGTAAACTGCATATTGGGCAGCCCTGCTTGAGAGGTTGCTTGCTAACGACCCCAAGACTGTTTGCTTCTAAATCCTATTTTAAGCAGCTGCTTATATACTAAGGCACGGGTCCCCAACCTTGGCAACTTTAAGACCTATGGACTTCAACTCCCAGAATTCCCCAGCCAGCTATGAACAGGTGGTGCCCCAAAGATCTTGTCCTGGCGCATAGAGGCTGTTAAGAGTCTGGATGGGGGAAGCAGGCCAGGTTCAACCTAGGAAGGGCTGGGAGATTGTGGATTCAAGGGCATTTCAGTTCCAAGGACCTTCCTACTTCAGTTATTGATAAGGTTGTATCTCCTTAAGTGGAACTCACCTATAATTTGTGGGACCTTCTCGAATTATAGGAAGAAGTGGTAGCCAGGAGAGTTTGCACAGATTCATCTTGACCAGAAGACCTTCTTCACAGTCACTCATGCTTTAGTCGCCTCTTGTTTAAATCAGGGGTCCCCAACCTTGGCAACTTTAAGACTTGTGGACTTCAGCTGGGGAATTCTGGGAGTTGAAGTCCACAGGTTTTAAAGTTGCCAAGGTTGGGGACCCCTGTACTAGGGCAATTCCTTCATTATTTCCCCCCTTCATTTGTTTATACAAACAATACTTTTTACAGTGCCCAGAGGGACTTGAAGCAGTTTACAGTGCAATAAAAATGACAAAATTGATCCACAGATCTTATCTAGCTAACTAAGCAACCAGGAACTGCCAGCACCCATGCATTCTGCCAAATGTAAAAGATTTTAAGGCCTTTCTGAAGATTGGGAGGTTGGTGGTAGTCTTCATCTCAACAGGCAGGTGTCTGGAAGCACGTTTTAAGAGAGATGTTTCCAGGAAGAACTGCTTTGAGAAGACTGCAGTCCTGGCTCCTTTCACCTGAGGTATAGTTCAGCCTGAAATCCTACCGCTGTGTTTAGTCATGCTCTGGAACTTCTGAGGATGTGCCAAGTAGCTATTCCTTGGTAATCTCTAAAAGCTTTCATGTGATAAAAAGGGGTTTTCGGATGCTTTGACCTTTCCTTACACCACCTGCTTTGGAGAAAAAAATCAGAGCCCATAGCTAGCTGACTGGAAGTACTACTGTTCTTGCCTTGAAACCCAACCAATTCTGTTTCTTCTCAGTTGGCACCCAAAGTTTCATGCCCACAGCACTGCTTCTCCTGTAATTCCTCAAGAGAGAGAAGAAAATGGAAAGTTGCCACTTTATTACCAAGTTAAGAATCTGATGGATCTATTGCAAACCAGAATTCTGGGCTTGTTTCTTCTCTTAAGGCAGGGGTTTCCAAACCTGGCAACTTTTAAGACTTGTGGACTTCAACTCCCAGAATTCCCCAGCCAGCATGGGGAATTCTTAAAGTTGTCAAGTTTGGAGGCCCTCTGTCTTAAGAAATCCTCAGTTATTCAGGTCTTGAATTCCTTGGTCTAGCCCAGGGGTAGGCAACCTTGCTCCTTTCACTTCCAAATTCCCTTCATCCATCCTGACTCCCTTCCCTTCCTTTTCTCTCCGCTTCTTCTGTTTATCCCTTTCTGCTTTACCCCTCCTCTTCTGTTCCTCTCCACCAGTTCTCTGGAGGTCCCAACCGCATCACAGAGCCAGGGAGTTTGCCAGATCCGGCCACATGGAGACAGAGTCTGCGCAAAACAAGCAGCTTTGGAGTATTGCAGGATGCCAAGCTGGACGAAGGAGTCCACAAGGGGGGCAGCGGCATCAAGCGCTCGGCATCCAGTCCCCGGCTTGATACAGAAGAGAAGGTGAGTTGGGCAGACACAAAGTTCATTGAGGCAGGTCAGGCATGGCCAGCCTCACCATTAGGTTAAAATATATCATTTGTCTCAGGTGGTTGATTCTGAGAGTTGACGGCAGCCAAGTGTTGTTGGAAACACCTTTGTAACACTTGGCCCGCCCTGCACCTCTAAGATAGCCTGCTGCAGTCAGGTGTAGAGGAGGGTGGCATCAAGAAATAGGAAAGCCTTGGATTGCTCTCCCTTCATACAAGGAACAGGAGAGGGGTGCCAACTGTTCTGGTCTTCAGGCAGCACAACTGTCCCTAGTACCGTAATGTATTTGAACAGTAGCCTTTTTTGTCTTATCTGAATCCAGTCGGGAAGATCTGTCAGTTTGTGGGGAAGAATTGGTAAAAGGGTCAGGCTTACATTTGACAGTTTTGGTTTTGGTTTCATTTCCCCCCTTTTTCATCAGTTGTCCAATTAGATGACTTTAAATAAAAAAAAAGTGCAGAGAAGAGCAACTACGATGATAAAGGCCTGGAGCTAAAACATATGAAGAATGGTTGCAGGAACTGTGTATGGATAGCCTAGAGAAAAGAAGGACTAAGGGTGATATGATAGTATTACTCCAGTATTTGAGGGGCTGCCACAAAGAAAAGGAAGTCAGCTTATTTTCCAAAACACCAAAGGGCAGGACAAAAAACAATGGATGGAAAGTAATCAAGGAGAGAAGCAATCTCGAATTAAGGAGAAACTTCCTAACAGGGAGAATAATTAACCAGTGCAGGGGTAGGGAACCTTGGCTCTTTTATGACTTGTGGACTTCAACTCCCAGAATTCCTGAGTCAGCATGGCTGATTCAGGAATTCTGAGTATTGAAGTCCACAAGTCATAAAAGAGCCAAGGTTCCCTACTTCTGAACCAGTGGGACAGCTTGCCTTCATTAGTTGTAGGTGATTCATCACTGGCTGTTTTTGAGGAGACACTGGACAGCCACTTGTCTCAAATTGTATAGGGTATCCTGCTAGAGCAGGGGGTTGGACTAGAAGACCTCCAAGGTCTCTTCCAGCTCTATTCTGATTGATTGACTTCCTTAAAGCAATAGTACTTAGACTTAAGTACTACTTCATTGTGCTTTACAGCATTCTGTGAGGGGTTTACAAATACCAGCATATTGTCCCCAACAGTGTGGATCCCCATTTTACCTCAGAAGGATGGAAAGCTGAGTGAAGGGCGATTTACAATTTAAAAAGGAGGTAACATCAAAGGAAACAAATAGGCCAAACGAGCCCACAACCAGAGATAAAAATCTAAAGTAGCTCTAGATTTTATCTCATAATTCTGGGCAAAAAAGACAAGATTTAACCTGATCTTTAAAATCTCAATTAGCTACCAACTGAGTCATATTTAAGGAGAGTATTTCATCATGGAGGCCTCTGCGAAGAAGACAGTATGCGGAGTAAGGCACCAGCAAATGATCTTAATGTTCAGACAAAAGATGTAGACCTATGGTGATCCTAGGAGGAACTGTACGCAAGGCAGCCATTTTGTCATGGGTGTGTCATGGACATCAGGACTTTCTGATTTGCCACTTTCCACTGGTTTTGGTAGAACGGTCTGGCTTTTATTCTTGAAAACCCATGAACAGCAATTGGAGAAATGTCGCTCAGGAGGAGGAGGAGGAGGAGAACTAGAGCACTTTCATATCTAATGGAGAGAAAGTACAGGTGGTCCTCAATGTACGACCACAATTGAGCCCAGAATTTCTTGACTGTTGTAAGTCGAGGACTACCTGTAAAGATGACAGATGCTGCAGCTCTGGTGCAGGAGATCTCTTGCTTGTGGGCAATATTTGGCATTTCCACTTACAGGTAGTCCTCGATTTACAACATTTCGTTTGGTGACTGTTCAAAGTTATAACGACACTGAAAAAAAAGTGACTTAGGACCATTTTTCACACATATGACCGTTGCAACATCCCCATGGTCACGTAATCAAAATTCAGACCCTTGGCAACTGACTCATATTTATGACAGCTGCAGTGTCTCTGGATCATATGATCACGTTTTGCGACCTTCCGACAAGCAAAATCAATGGGGAAACCAGATTCACTTAACAACTGTGGCACGAAAGGTCATAAAATGGGGCAAAACTCAACTAACAACTGTCACTTAGCAACAGAAATATTGGGCTCAATTGGGATCGTAATTTGAGGAGTACCTGTATTTAAAAAAAGGTTGAGGAGCAGGACCTTTCTTATCTTTGGAAAGCTTCTGCAGCTTAGAGGAGATGATATTGACTAGATCGGGGGGGGGGGGGTGCGAGACAGTATTCCAGGGCGTGCAAAAACTTGGGTTTTCAAAATTATAGTGTATAGGCATAATTTGTTGCCATTATTTCGAACTTTTGTAAGGGGTGCGAGAATATATCAGACATGTTCTAGGGGTGCGGGGTATAGAAAAGGCTGGGGGCTGCTGAACTAGATCAGGGGTCTTCAAACTTGGCCCTTTTATGACTTGTGGATTTCAACTCCCAGAATTCCTCATGGCTGGCTGAGGAATTCTGGGAGTTGAAGTCCACAAGTCATAAAAGGGCCAAGTTTGAAGACCCCTGGACTAGATCAGGGCTAGGCAACCTCAGGAATTCTGGGAGTTGAAGTCCGCGAGTCATAAAAGAGCCGAGGTTGCCCATCCCGGACTACATAATCAGTGAGCAACTTCAGCCTTCTAAAGCAGGGGTCTCCTACTTTGGCAACTTGTGGACTTCAACTCCCAGAATTCCCCAGCCAGCCATGCTGGCTGACCAAAGAGTGGCTAGTTACATTTTTTTTTAAAAAAAAACTCTAAAATATCAAAATAGTTAATACCCCAGTAGACTGTACATGCTTGAAGAAAGAGCACCCTACTCCTTCTAGTGACAATACCCTGTCAGTCCCATAGCATTACAGCCCCCTAGGTGCAAAATAACTGCCCGGTCCTGGCTTAGATAGAATGGATCAGGTCTGGAACAGTTGAAACTACCTGTTCTAAGGTCAGGATGGGTTATTTTAGGATGGGAAAATTCTGCCATGCCACACTTCGCCCACCTCTGAGAACACACCACACAATGCTGCCTTGCATTAAGTTTTCAAAAGCCGGCCTTATCGGTATTATTTCTGAAGGTTTAAGTGGACCCAGCCTTGGTCAGGTGCAGATCATCTGTGTATTTTTTTTTTTTCATGATGCAAACAAAGCCAAAGGAAATACCGCAGTTGAATCTCAGTTTCACATTTAGCTCTTTTTGGTCAAAAGCAGAACACGAGGGGTCCTTGGTGCTCTGTGAGCTTGCTAGTTTTCTTGCCGACATTTCATTACGCTAACTAGGAAACATCGTCAGTGCTGGGTAATGAAACGTCGGCAAGAAAGCGAGCAAGCTCAGAGAGCACCCAGGACCCCCTCATGTCAACCCTGAGCCAGAAATATTCTCCTTTAAAAGCAGAACTTTCTTTTTCTGTGCTTTCTATTTATTCCCTTCTTTCCTACCTCAGATCTAGCAGCTTTGCACAGTCTTGTGAGCTCTGGTGTGGGTTTGTTTTCCCTCCAGTGGGGCGGCTTTTCAGCGTGGGGATTCAGGACACGAATTTTGCCACCAGTATGTCTCTGCTGTGCCCTCTTTTTCTTTTCTTTGTCTTTCCCTCCCTCTCCCTCCCGATCCTGTCATTGCCTGTATTATCTGCAGCAAGACATCCAGGAGCTCTTGAAGAAGTGGAGCAAGAATCCCATTGGCCCATGGTTAGCCAATAGGAACACAGCTTCTGAGCCACCTGGTGACCCGGTAGGAGTCTCGACCCCTCAGAGAGGGTGGCTGGATACCTTGCTTGCTAGCTTTGCTTTATTTGGGCAGGGGAGGGTTAAATGTGTGTGGGGGGGGGTGCTGAGCTTGAGAGGCATGGACGTGTAAAGGGAAGTGCATGCCTAAGGGCACCAACAGCATCTGGTGGGAACCACATATGGGTCCTTTTGTTTCAGTTCTCCTTCCACCTCTGCTCTTTCCCCACTCTTAACAATTTTTTCTTGTTCTGTCTGGGCCACAGCTACCCTGTTAGAGAGGCAGTGTTGAAGCTTTCTGTCCTTCTCCATCCATTAGCAGTTCCTCTAGCATTAAGGGAGAGATGCTCACACTCTCCCTTTTACAGAAACGCAATGCTCACATTAGTGGGCCCCCAAAGCCTCCTGAATCTAGCTTCTGAGCGCCCCCATTCCTAGCCGGAATAGAAAGTAACGGTGGAACAGCTGTCAGTCAAATCTATATTTTCTTTCCTTTTTCCATCTTTTTTTACAGAACAAAGAGCCACGCCTGGCACGAGTAATCCCAACCCCCACTCGCCGGATATTTGCCCTCCCAGACACAGAACCCCACCGGGATCCCCGACGCGCGTGAGTAATCTACCATGGATAAACTAAAATAGCACGCTTCGACTTGAGAGGCCTAGATTGGAATCTTGCTCAGACAGGAAGCTGGTTAGCTGAGACAGGGCAGTTGGCTTTTCCCAGGCAGGGTGGATATTCGCCTCTTTCTCATCCTCTAGTGAGGGTGCATCTCTTGACGTTCGTGAGTGGAGAAAACCACAAAACTAACATGGATTAGGCGATCTTTGATCCCCCAGATGTTAAGTTTCTCTACTCCAGCTATCGCCAGCCATTGGCCGTATTGGCTACGGCTACTGAGAATTTGAAGGAACTTCTGGAAAGTTTGTCCTTGTATTGGAAGATCTTTTTGTTAAGCGATAGGATCTGTTGGGTCTACTTTTAGTTTTCAGAGTGGGAATGGGAAAAGAGATTCCCAAGATTCACTGGAGGATAGAAATATTTGGAGAAGTGAAGCTGTTGTGCTTCAGTAAATTTATTTGGTCTTTTAAGGCAGGGCTTTTCAACCAGTGGTACGGGTACCACCTGTGGTACATTGGCACCTGGCAGGTGGTAAGCGACCATCCTAGAAAAGTGATAGCGGGGGAGGGGAATGAGCTGAACCGGTGGCAGCACCGCACAAGCCTGAGCGAGAGACGGCTGGAGCTGCAGGGCTGGAGCTGCAGGGCTGTCAGGGCTCAGCGGAAGCGCCAGGATCAGTGCCGCTTTCCAGTGATCGGCGCTTCTTTGGGGTTGTCAGGGCTCAGTAGAAGCGCCAGGATCAGCACCAGGCTCCAGCTGAAAAGCGGCACTGATCCTGGCACTTCTGCTGAGCCCAGAAGAAGCACCAATCAACTGGAATGTTGCAGCATCTCCAGGGCCTTGTGATTTACGTTCAGATGCTTGGCAACTGATTTATATTTATGACGGTCACAGTGTCCCAGGGTCATGTGAAGTGACCAAAACCTGCTGCAACCACCCAGCAGACGAGGGGGAATAAAAACCAAACACCACCCCCCACCTCACCCCCACTGCCAATCCTCAACAGAAATGCTCACAACAATGAAAACCTCGGACATGAGGAAGAGCACCGCTAGGTGGGCAGGCAGGTGTCTTGCTCGGCTGTGGCTTGGGGGGCACTTTTTTCAGTGTCATTGTAACTTCGAACAGTCACTAAGCGAACTGTTGTAAGTCGAGGACTACCTGTACTTCATCATCTTTTTCCTTTTGGGGGGGGGTCATCAGGTTTTTGACACCGTGCTAGGCGACTGGTGGTACTCGGATGTTGCCATATCCTAAAAGTGGTACAATGGGTGAAAAGGTTGAAAAGCCCTGTTTTAAGAGCACCCTTATCGACTTTGAATAAGGTGCTATATCAGTTTGCTTTTTACCGTTTGCAGTTTAAAAGCCTAGCAATACTGTTGTGCCTTTGCAAAAGAAAAAGGGGCCAGAACGTTTGCTAGATGTTTTTGCTAAAGTGGCAAGCTTTTGGAAGAGGAGGGGGGAACTCAAAATTAATGCAGACAAGACCTTCCAAGGGACCATTAGCCTGAATTTTAGAGAGCAGTGGATTGGTGTCATGAAATCTCACAGAAGCCAAGGAGGCCCCTCTAAATATTCTCTTGCGCGTGCTCTCTCTCTTTCTCTCTCTCTCTCTCTCTTTCTCTTTCTGTCTTCCTGCTCACTCCCCGCAGAAACTTAGAAGGTGGCCTTCAGAGGAAGATAGATACAGCCCCTGCCCCACACCAGCCCCTCTCTTCCACTACCATCAGCTCTAGCATGGATCCCTGGGACCGCCGAAGGTGAGGGTTGGCTGGGCCAGGGGCAGGCAGTACGGAAAGCACTTAGGGCCACGATAGACGGGTGATCCTGAAAAGGCATGTAGGCTGATCTCTGTTGATGCAGTTATTATCCTGATCTTCTGGGCCTTAAATTTCTGTGAGTTGCTTGTATTATTATTAACTTTCACCACTGATAACACAGGCGTCCACTTCATGGTGTCAACGGGAGAGAATTTGGCCAGACACTTATGCCCGGTGTCTGTTTGATCTTGTCTATCACTGGGTCTAATAGAAGAAGGACGGCCTTTCTGTGTTGTGCTCCATGCTCCATACAGGATGCTACCTGTATGCCATCTTGATAGCTCTCTCTGTCCTGTTGAGTTTGGCAGAATTAAAAGGGCTCTGCCCACTGCCTTTTTTTCTTCCTCCTCCACCTCTTACGTTTCATTCCACCTCTCTGGTCTGACTAACTGCTTTCCTTGGCAAAATGGAAGGCATTGTGTTTGGCCAGGAAAAGTCAAAAGAAGCCAAGCAAAAGTTACCTGACACACTTGCAAAACGTAAGAGTTTCCTCTCCTTTCCTTTCCTTTCCCTATCCTGACGTCCTGCCAATGCAACAGCTCTACGAGGCTTGGCAGGAACTAACCGGGGCTCCTCGAAGCTGTAAAAAGCATGAGGAAAAACCTTTTACGTGCTGCCTAACCACCAGGGTCATCCTGCTAGGTCATACCAGACGCCCGTGCGAGATGAAGAATCTGAATCCCAAAGAAAAGCCCGTTCTAGGCTCATGAGACAATCCAGGCGTTCCACACAGGTAAGAGTTGGTGCACCCCCCCCCAAAAAAAAAACTGGCTTGAAGGTGATGCCCCACAGGTTGGGGTGCAACGGCTTCCTTGGCTTAACTCAATGCCTCACAAGAGTTTTGCTGTCCATTGGCCACAATCCCATCAGCATCTTCTGAAGGGTAAGGTATTTTCCTGATGGATACACTCTCTCTCTCCCCTCCATCTTCATGTCCTCTCCCCCCCCCCTCCCTTTTCTCTCTCCCTCCTTTTGCCTCCCTGTGCCCGTTTTAGGGAGTGACCCTTACGGACCTCAAGGAGGCTGAGAAGACCATGGGCTGGACCGGCGATTCCAAAACTCCTTCAGAACAAAGGAACAAGGAGGATGAAAAACGGGACAAAGAAGGGGAACAGCAGTCTCAGGAGACCACGGTAGGGATCCTTTTGAGGTGGATGGGTTGTATTCAAAGCCCCTCCAGCATTGGCAGGAGGAGAGAACCTGATCTAATGATAAATGGATCAGGGAAAAGATGAGGCCTGATCTAAGGGGGGGGGGGGCTTACAGGTATACGTGCCTGCTGCTCAGGATGCAGATCCTTGCAAAGGGCCTCTAAAAGAAAGACGCAACTGGCCATTGCCAGGCTGAGCAGGATAGTGACCCTTTGTGGCGGGATGGAGAGGGAGGTGGCTCCTGGCACTCGCAATGTGCGGCTTTCCTTGTGCGTCTCTGCCAGCACTGGGTTCAGTTGAGGATCTGGTGTGTTTTGGCACGTCCTGTGAAGTAGGGACACTCATCACGCCACCCTTTTCAGTCATCCCAGGCTTTAGTTTGGCCCTCTGCAAAATGGCGGCCCTGTTGCCTTGAGCAGGTTTGTAACTGGTCTTCCTTCTTATTCTCCCTAACTTCATTCTCCCAACGCCTCATTCCAGGACTCTGCTAGGCGCTTCCGGCTCCCCAGTTCAGACAGTTCTTCAGTTTATACTGTGAATCCGCTAGTGGTGAATTCGCAGCTCCAGAAAGGTAACCCTTGTGTTCAGGTGAATATTTCCTTCTTTCTTTTTCCTCCTTCGTTTTCAGTTTGCCTGCTTGACATGTTTCACTGTGGACTGGCGCTAGCTCCTTCGTCTCCTTCGATCCTGACTCGTTTCATTCTCTCCCTGACTCGTTTCATTCTCGAGGAGGTCTTAAAGCTTTCGTCTCCTCCGTGCCGCGTTGTTGACACTCAGGACTTGGGAGGTGGACAGCCCAGACTCAGCTGCCTGTCCTGTTTTTTGTTTTTTTTTAAACCGCAGGAACGGAAGTCGATAAGGCTGGCTCTGAGCTGGATACAGACCTTCGGAACAGACTGGCTATCCGAGACCGCAGGAAAGGCCGGCGAGAGAGGCGCATCACTGCTCTGGGAGGAAACTCAGAGGTGAAGGAGAGAAGGGCACCAGAAGAAGCGGGCTAGTGCACTGGAGGAAGGGCGGAGTTCAGGATACAGATAGGAGGTTGCAGTAAAGGTGGTGGATGCCTTTTACCTGCACCCACCTTGACTGTGAGAACCTCTGAACCGCATTTTTTTTTCTTCCTCTAGGGGGAGGAAGATGAAGACACTGAACAAATCCACAATGAAGATCCATCTGTACATAGCAGGTAGATTCCTCTATAGCAGGGATGGCAAATCTTATAGGCTGAGCATGTCAGAAATTCAGAAAACACCTACGTTGACTCTGCTGGTCTCTCTCTCTCTCTCTCTCTCTCTCTCTCTCTCTCTCTCTCTCTCTCTCTCTCTCTCTCTCTCTCTCTCTCTCTCTCTCTCTCTCTCTCTCTCTCTCTCTCTCTCTCTCTCTCTCTCTCTCTCTCTCTCTCTCTCTCTCTCTCTTTCTCCATCCATCCATCCATCCATCCATCCATCCATCCATCCATCTATCTATCTATCTATCTATCTATCTATCTATCTATCTATCTATCTATCTATCTATCTATCTATTTATCATGTCTCTCATACACACACACATACACAATACATACATACATACATACATACATACATACATACATACATGCTGTCGTTATAAATATTTTTCAAAACGCCCATCCAAGGCAGCTCTGGATTGCACGAGGCCTGGACATTTCGGAGAAGGCTCTTTTGTGGCCTTGTATCTTCCAAAAAGCGTGGAAAATCACACCCGTGATTTTCAGAGGCTCCAGAGGCCGTGTGAGAGCAAGGCCCTCTTGCACAACTTCCAGAGTGTCTAGAGCAGAGGTCCCCAACCTTTTGGGCACCAGGGACCGGTTCCGTGGGGAAAGGTTTTTCCGCGGACCGGAGGGTGCTTGGTTTTGTGTGCTGCCTGCATCCTGCGGATGGGGCTTTGTTCGTTTGTGCGGACCGGTCATTGGCATGCCATGGACTGGGGATTGGGGACCCCTGGTCTAGAGGCCTGGCATGTCACCAAAATTGACATGGCCTGTGACCCATGACCCACGTGTCAAAGATTCACCGTCATTGCCCTGTAGTGGAGCAACGAACTGTGATCACTATGTGGATAAAGATTCTCAGTCATCCAGATAGAGTTGTCTGGAAGTTGAGTCTGGAAGAAATGGGTTTCTTTTAGCCTGGGACGAGGCTGCTGAGATTGTAGCCAATGACAAACCTAACATTGCTGGAATGAAACAAGCTTCAGGAGGGGACAAAGTGGAAGAAGCACTGGGGGGAGGGATTCCATAGTGAAATGAGTGCTTTTAACAATGCTCTCTCTAAACGACCCAGATACACAACATGGATCAAGCATTTTAGCCTCCAAGGGAAACTTTGGCAGCTACACAGTCCAGGGCTGCCTACACATGATTGCACTTTCTGGAAATTGAGTCAGGGCACTAGGACTTCTTTTCTTGTTGGTCTGAAATGTTTCACTGCTTCTCCAAGTAGTTTCTTCAGTCTAACCCTAACCCCCCCCTTCCCCTACACAATGCTTCTTCCGTTTTGTCCCCTCCTGAAGCCTGTTTTATTCCAGCAATGTTAGGTTTGCCATTGGCTACAATCTCAGCAGCCTCCTCCCAGGCTAGAAGAAGCCCATTTCTGCATGAACACATGAAACCGGCATATATTGCTGTTGTTTTGCTAAAGCACCACTGGCCTTTATGTTTTCCTTTTCAGTCTTTTTCTCCCAAGTTAATATTGTGCCTACCTAAATTGTTATTATTACTTTTGCATCGTGCAAAGGAGCCAGCAGAGGGCAGTGCTCACCGCCTCCCTCTGCTGCTTCTTTTCAGCGATCACTTAAACAGCCTTCTGCCAAAACGGACTGCACCTTCGGGCTGCCAAAGAGGGAGCAGCGCACCTTCGGGCTGCAGAGAAGAACCGGACAATTATTACAAGAAAGTTAGTGCTTGGAGAAGGAGGGTTTCGCACTCACTGGGGCAGGCAAAAAAAAGCAGCTGCAAAGAGAACGCTGCTGTATCTAGCACTTGCTTATCTTTCTCATTGCCTCCTTTTTCTTTTCCTTCCCTCCCCCACCCACCCACCTGCGTCTTTAAGCTGTATGAAGATCTCTTGATTGAGAATGAAAAGCTGAAGGAACAGTTGCAGGAGGCGCAGCTCCAACTCACGCAGATTAAGCTGGAGCTGGAAAGAGTGACCCAGGTACGGGGCAGGGCAAGGTGGGCCCTTCATGGGAGAGCTGGAGGGGGAAGGGGGAGGGCTGAAGAGGCATATTGGGACTGAGAGCATTAGCAGGCAACTCTGGTGAAGATTGGAGAGAACGTAGAGCCAAAATCTAGGGTTAGAGTTATTGGGATACAGAATGTGGGGTGATGTGCTTAAGATCTAGGAGCAGGAGCAGGGGATACTCAGGTCCACCCTATGCAACAGAAGTTCTCTAAGTATCCAGGCCAATTACTTTTCTTTATTTATATCCCACCTTTATTATGTTTACAAATAACTCAAGGCTGCGAACATACACAACACACCTTCCTCCTATTTGCTCCACCACAACAACCCTCCGAAGTAAGTTGGACTTGAGAGAGAGAGAGAGCGACTGGCCCAAGGTCATCCAGCTGGCTTTCATGGCTAAGGCAAAGCTTGAACTCACGATCTCTTGCTTTCTACCTCTTAGGGCTGTTGTGGGCAAATGTGGGAGGAGGGAGCACCGTATATGCCTCCTGTTCAGCCTACCAGGTAGGCCAGAAAGGAAACAGGCCAGATAATCTAATGCCACTTTATTGAAAAGCTCCGTTAACAAAATCTTGTGCAAGTCTGAAAGTACAATTCTCCCGCTGTCACCTTTAGTGACATAAGGAGGGTCCCTTTTGAGCTTCTTGCTCTGCCCACTATGCAGCTGTGGGCTATGCTCCCTCTTATCTAACTATTCCCTAGGCCAGGGGTAGGCAACCTTGGCTCTTTTATGATTTGTGGACTTCAACTCCCAGAATTCCTGAGCCAGCATGGCTGGCTCAGGAATTCTGGGAGTTGAAGTCCACGAGTCATAAAAGAGCCACGGTTGCCTACCCCTGGCCTAGGCAGCATCTCCTTCCCCCCCCCCCCATCATTCTTACATGCCATTACATTATTTGACCTCCAGAATGAAAGGTCAGCTATAAAGTTAACAAATAAATAAAATACATAGCTTTAGTGTATATTTGCTTTAGATTTCCATCTTTGCAATTAACCTGGAATGAATTTTTTAAAAAAAGTCTCAGTAACTGTACTGAGTAGTCTTGGTTGACTGCTGTTTTTCCCAGTATTTGCAATTCTGGTTCACCTGTGGAAATCTTTAAGAAAGTGACTTAAGGACCGACAGATGTAAAATGGTTTGCTAGAAATGCATGCATAGCCCTCCTCCTAGTCCAGACGACATTAATCCAGCCTTTCCATCTATGAACTTGCTTGTAGAGTGTGATCTTCAGATGAGGTGCATGTCTGGATTTTCAGTGATGCCCCCCCCCCCAATGATAACCCACTTCTGTCCCTGAGGTTCACGTTCCTATCTTCTCTAGGTTGTGTATTGCTGTATTGTATGGTTTATTATTATTTTACCAGTCATATCCTGTCTTCAGATCTGCAAGGGGGAGGGTTATAATACATGTTTAAAAAGTAAGCACAGAAATGATTTTGAGTCTTTTTTTGTATGTTGTCTGCCCTGGCCAGAGGCAGGAGCGCTTTGCTGAACGACCGGCTCTTCTAGAACTAGAGAGATTTGTAAGTATTTGTTCCCTCCTCCCTATTCCTTCCCCTCTCCTGCATTGCCAGAACTGACCTATCAAACAGGTTGATGCCACCTTTGGGGAGAAGCCTGTCAGTGAGGCAACTATGCTGTTGAGGAGAAGGCAGTAACTGACTGGGCATTTTTACACGTACTAAAGCAGACATGTCAAACACAAGGCCCGGGAGCCGGATGCGGCCCGCGAAGTGGTTTCATGTGGCCCGCGAAGCCATCCTGGAAACAGTGAGGGAACGGCCCCCGCTGCCTTCACCCTGGCCCAGGCCAGCCGAAAGCTAATGTACAATTTTGTGGTGGCCATCTTGGCACTTGCCCCAGTGGACCATGCCTTGGCACTTGCCCCGGTCCCACCCCCTTCTGCCAGAGACCCTTGGATCTGTTCCACTCCTGCCCAGGCCCCCACAGGCACCCTTGATGCGAATGATGTAGAACTGGCCACGCTCACCCAGTAGGCCACACCCACTCCATCCACGCCCATCCAGTAGGCTGCACCCACCCTGGCCACACCCACCCGGTCCCCCAGAGGGCAACCGTAATGCTGATGCGGCCCTCAATGAAATTGAGTTTGACACCCCTGTACTAAAGGCTGGGGTTTCAAGGAAAGAGTGTACACTGTTAACCTAGATTATTTGCATCTCCCCTAGAAGGAGAGCAGTTCCTGGCTATCTCCTCTTCTGTTACAAAAAATTGACCAGTATGTATGGCCTGTAGGAATTCTAAAAGGCACAAGATTAAACGCACCCAGTTTTATTCTACAGAGATTGATTTCTCCCCTCTCAGCATAAAAGCATGCTTAGGATTCCTTTCCTGCATCCACTCTTACTTCATCTCTTTGTCCCACCTGTCCCAAACCAGGAGCGTCGAGCTTTGGAAAGGAAAGCTGCTGAGCTGGAGGAAGAATTGAAGGTGATTCTTCTCTTGTTGAAGGAGTCCCTGCTCTGGTTGAATGGTAGCCTGGCTGGGAGCAAGGAAGGAGGAGTTGGCAGGGAGGAAATAGGTTTGCAATACAGGTATAATTCAGTCACAGTCACACCACAAGGTATAGTATTGCTCCTACCTGCCCCTTTGAACAGATTATTCCTAAAACCCTGGAGCTGGAACGGAACCCACCACCAAGACCAACAATTTGCACGTAGAAAAATGACCGATCCTTAAAACTCAGAGAAAGTGTGTGCGCGTGGCATTGTGCGTTTGAACAAGGAACAGAAAAAAGTGCTCCTGATAAATGGGCGTTCTTGGAGTTCTCACACTGCGTACTGCTTTGTTTGCACCCATGTTGGCCAAAAGGCAGGGTGTCCGTTTTAAAAATGAGAAAAGAGGCTAAGAGACAAGATTGGGGAGTAACACCAAAATGCACACCGTAGCCTTAAATTCTCTGAAGGAAGATACAGATAGTCCTCAGCTTACGACCACAATTGAACCCAGCATTTCTGTTGCTAAATAGGACCATTGTTAAGTGAGCTTTGCCACATTTTAAGACCTTTCTTGCCACAGTTAAGTGAATCACTTCAGTTGTTAATTTAGTATCATGGTTGTTAAGTGAACAACTTCTAGCTTCCCCACTGACTTTGCTTGTCAGAAGGTTGCAAAAGGGGATCACATGATCCCATTATTACTGTAACCCTCATAAATACATGCCAGTTGCCATGTAAATTTTGGTCATGTGACCATGGGGATGCTGCGACGGTTGTAAGTGTGAAGAGCAGTCCTAAGTCACTTATTTCAGTGCCGTTGTCAGTTTGAACAGTCATTAAACGAATGGTTGTAAGTCAGGGACTACCTGTAACCAGAAAGAAGTGCCTTGGGAGTTTGACTTCGTATCTGCCTTTCCCCTCACAGGCTCTTTCAGATTTGAAGGCCGACAACCAGCGTCTTAAAGACGAAAACGCCGCTCTTATTCGTGTGATCAGCAAGCTCTCCAAGTGACCACCAGCTGCTGTCACTGTCCCCCGGTTTCTGTGTGAAGCAGGGACCTTCCTCCACACACACCACCACCACCACCACCACATGTACCAAGATCCTGAGCAGGGGCAGGAGAAATACAGTACGTGAGGATAGGGTTGGTCCCCTTCCTCTCACCACCCAGACACTCCAGACGTGGGCTGTTCTGAGGCTCGGCCAAATAGGCCCCACCAACTATTGTTTTCCCCAGAAGTTTGTCTCGACGCCTGCTTCTCCTCCCCCAGCCCTTCCCCTTCCCAGAGACAGTATTTATTTTGTGGCTTCCTTCAGTGACGCTCTTTGCTTTGTTGCTTTTTCCTCCAGGGAACAAGGGGCATAGGGATGATAGGAACCAGTCTTTCTGGGAAACCATAGGGAGCCGGGTGGCCAGCGTTGTTGCTGTGGGGAAGTGGGATTAACAGGCCTTCTTGACAACCAGGTCCTTAGGGCAGTGGTTCTCAACCTTTTTAATGCCGCGACCCCAACCAGTCGTACGTCGAGGACTAAACCGGTCGTAAGTCGAGGACTAAACCAGTCGTAAGTCGAGGACTACCCAACCGGTCGTAAGTCGAGGACTTTCCCTGCCCGGGAGCGCCGCGCATGCGTGGTTCTGCCCCCTGCGCCGGCCGAGGCGTAGCTGGCAAGTGGCAGAGACGGAGCAGGCCGACCACCAGCTGGCCCAGCCCAAGGGAAATAAGGCACCCACCGGAAAAGGGGAAAAAAATGGTGGACAAAAAAAATGGCGGACAAAAAAATGGCGGACAGCCTTGCTTGGCGACCCCCGTGAAATGGTCGATCGACCCCAAATGGGGTCCCGACCCACAGGTTGAGAACCACTGCCTTAGGGTGTCCCTTACGGTTAAGCTTGGCAGCCCAAGAGACAAGTTAGCCAGTAGTGGCCATGCCGTTGGGTGGTCAGCACCATCCTGACCAGCAAAGGCTGCAAGAGGCTGGCCAGCATTAATGGATCGGACGGAGGGTGGCATCTGGTCTTTGCAAAGCTAAAAGAAGTGAGCAGCCGGATTGCAGCAGCGATCCATGGCAGTCTTGGCCAGGCCAAAGCTGTGAGAGAACCTCTTGGTCATTCATCAGGGGAGGCTTGAGAGTCATGCCTGATCAGCTGTGGAGGATGAGGGTGAATGTCAGTGGTGGGGCGAGAGAGGCAGCAGTGCTGTGGAGTTTCTGCTCCTTTCTCTTTGCATCTTAACACTTGGGTGCAAAGATTGGGTTGTCCCCTCTCTGGTCTTTGAATGTCCATAAAGTTAGGTGGGTTTTTCAGGATTGCACCTAACTCAGGCCAAAGGAAACCTGCCTCTTCCTCCCTCCCTCCTGCCATTTGGACCATAGCCTTCTGCCCACACCCAGCCTGGTGATGCTGATGCTGCTGGCACTGTCGCGGTGAGGTTTGAAGCCAATAAGAGAGGCCATAGCCAAAGCCCACACTTGACACGGTTACATAAATTGCCAGCCTTCACTCCTGCTTCTCCAGGAGCTGTGCCTCCTTGACCTTTCATTTTCTAGCTCCCTGGGCACCATTTGTCTCCCAGAAGTAATCTGGAGTTCCAGCTTAGTGGCTGTCCCATATTTTGCTTCCTGCACGCATGCAATCCAATACTTTCAATGTTAAAACTGAGGGCTAGAAGTACTTCAAAGTGAAACTGAGGGCTAGAAGTAACTCCAAGAGAAAAAACGGGTCCAAAGTACTACCCTGAAAATCCTGTTTGTGTGTGTGTGTTTTTTTCCTGCGCTATCATGAGCCAAGATTCCTTTGCCAAAATAAATAAATCCCTCCCTCTTCTGCCATGGCCCCTTCTTCCCATTCCCCCACTTTTCTTCCCTCCACCTGTCCTAGTCCAGGGACTCCCCTCCCTCCCTCCCTCCATAAATATCTGTACATAACAGAAGTATTTTCTATATGGCTGCATTGCCAACAAAAACCAGAAGAAAAATGCAGAGAAACTTAAATGTGCAATATCGCATGAGTATTTTTTTTCCAAAGAAGTCTCTATATTGTACTTGTTTATTCAGCAGCGCAGCTGCCATTGTTTTAAAGAACAGGGAATTTAAATTACCGTGTTTGAATATAATAAACACAATTTTAAAATTGGTATTTGAATACTATCATTTCTCCATCAGTTACCCAATGCCTGTCTGAAGGTAGGGATACAAGAGAGCTGTAGGTGGTCCTTCCTCAACCATGTGCTCTCCAGTTGTGTTGGACTTCCATTTCTGAAAAAGTAGAGGGTTAACATTGAGTTAGATCAGGGTGGGCAGTTATGGCGATTTTACAACCTATGGACTTCAACTCCCAGAATTCCTGAGCCAGCCATGCTGGCTCAGGAATTCTGGGAATTGAAGCCCACAGGTCAGAGTTGCCATAATTGCCCACCTGAGTTAGATAAAACCCTGGAGGACACATCTATTAGTGGTTCTACAGACTCTCCATAGTCAGAGGTATTTTCAGCATGTGGTAATTGTGGAGTTGCCGTTGAAGAAGATCGTTGCGTGGATGTGCTACTTAGGTGTGGCCACTGAGATTGTTCCTGGTATACAGTACTATAAATCCATCCCATCATCTCCCCATCTTCTCTCCATGGCCTTGACCTCCGGAACCCAACTCAAAAGAGGCTTCCTTAATTTGTTTGTTGTGTGTTAAGCCTTCTGGCTTAATATAGCACAGCCCTTGTCCCTTCACCCTCAGGACAAATACAAGATAATTTGTTAGACTGGAAGCTGATTTAGAGATGACTCAGTGACCTCTTAAGCTCGTTCTAGATCTAAAATTAGAAGTTAGGGTTGGCCCCATCCTTCCTTATTCACTTCCTTCTCTGGACACATTTCAAGAACAGCCAAGATGTCACAGCTAGGTGTTGCCCCTGGGCAGGAATGACTCATGACCGTTTGACATCCCTCTGGGCATGACAGAAATGGCCTCCTCCCATTTCCAGTTCCCAGAAGCCAAGAGGCTTGGCTTTTGATTTTTTTTATCGGCATGTATGTGCCTTATTGCAAGGTTTAGAGCAGGCGTGTCTACCTTTTGCCTTGTCTGAATTGTCTTGGGCTGCATACAAGCAGTCCTTGACTTATGACCACAATTGAGCCCAAAATTTTGTTGCTAAGCAAGACAGTTGTTAAATGACTTGTGCCCCATTTTATGAACTTTCTTGCCACAGTTGTTAAGTTAGTAACAAAGTTGTTAAGTGAATCCGGCTTCCCCATTGATTTTGCTTGTCAGAAGGTTGCAGGTGATCACGTGATCCAGGGATACTGTAACTCATGAACCAGTTGCCAAGCATCCGAATTTCGATTACGTGACCACGGGGATGCTGCAACAGTTGTGTGATAAAACAGTCATAAATCATTTTTTTGGGTGCCATTGTAACTTTGAATGATCACTAAACGAATTGTTATATGTCCAAGGGTAGGCAACCTTGGCTCTTTTATGACTCGTGGACATGCTGGCTCAGGAATTCTGGGAGTTGAAGTCCACGAGTCATAAAAGAGCCAAGGTTGCCTACCCCTGGACATATAGTTAATATATATAAATAACAAACTTCGGGGCTGCATTACTAGCTATCCAGGGCTGCATGCCGCCCATAGGCTGCCAGTTGGACACACCTGGTTTAGGGGCAAGGGATCATCTTTAAGGTGGTAGCTATCACTTAAAAGGCAAATTTGGTTTCAGACCAGATCTTTAAGTGTGTTTATTAAAACTGCAGAGTAGCCAAAGCTTCCTTGGGGGTGGGGCTCACAATATTATGCTATGGGCCCTGGGCCATAGATAGACCCTAAAATTAAAGATTCAGTATTTTCATAAACATGAGTCCATTTATATCAGAGGTGTCCAAACTTGGCAACTTAAGACCTGTAGACTTCAGCTCCCAGAATTCCACTGCTGGCATGATTGACTGGAATTCTTGGAGTTGAAGTCCACAACTCTTAGAGTTGCCAAGGTTGGACGGACTTGATTCATATAATATTTTTAATTTCTCCAAATACTACTGTTGAATAGTAATTTAAGTGGTTCTGAGGGACACAGATTGTACACTCATCTATATAAATAAAAATGTAAATGTTCGTTTGTTCAAAATCTTAAATCTCCGAAAGTTCTTCACTGATTGCTTTGAAATTTTGACACAACGTTGCATTCGAATATGTGCGTGTTTTTATATACCTATATTATATAGATGTCACACCTGTGACAGGTAAAAACATGCTTTTTTAAAAAACAGCACCATCCGTTGGACGTAAAAGCAACACACGCTTTTACCAGATTGAGCCACAGCAACGCGTGGCCGGGTACACCTAGTTTTAAAATAAAAAGTGGCAGCAAATTTTGCTCCCTGAATTTGTTTTTTTCAAAATCCCCGTTGATACTCTGCTACATAAGGAAGGAAGTGCGTTCTTAGTTAATAGAAGCTACATATTTTTAAAATAATAGGCTAATTAAAATTGAAGATGATTTACTACATATTTAATATAGATGTCTCTTATGCTAAGAATCTGGGTACAGAAACATGTAGATGTTTGAACTCCAGAATAATTCAGCAGCGTTTGGGGTTATAAAGATTTTTTTTTTCCAGTCCTACTAAAAGTTCTGTCTGGTGAGATTTGTTTTGTCTCCCATCTTTTGTCTCAGATCTCTTTAAAAATACTGCAGTTATGTGAGATGAGGGAATAACCATATCTCCGAAACTATGATTTCCTCCTTTGTAAAAAGAGACTGGATTTGTATACTTCCTTTTCTAATCGCTTTTGGACATTGTTTGTTAACTTTCTGTCATTAGGAACCTTTGAATTGACACGTTTTACAGCACTAGGTTTGTTTTCAGCAATACTTAGTGAAATAAAATTTCAATATATGTTTAAGGACTAACTTTTTTTCCTTTTGAAATAAACAACTTACTACTAGATAAGATAGAAAAATGTGGGTTAGACAGCATCACCACCAGATGGATCCGTAGCTGGCTGACCGGCCATACTCAGCGAGTGGTCCTCAGTGGAACTGCATCTACATGGAGGGAAGTGTGTAGTGGGGTGCCCCAGGGCTCTGTTCTGGGCCCAGCGCTCTTCAACATCTTCATCAATGATTTGGACGAGGGAATAGATGGGGAACTCATCAAATTTGCAGATGACACCAAGCTGGCAGGAATAGCCAATACTCCAGAAGATAGGCTTAAGATACAGGAGGATCTGGACAGACTTGAACATTGGGCACTATCTAACAAAATGAAATTCAATGGTGAAAAAAGTAAGGTTCTACATTTAGGCAAGAAAAACTAAATACACAGGTACAGTATAGGTCAGTGATGGCGAACCTTTTAGAGACCGAGTGCCCAAACTGCAACCCAAAACCCACTTATGCATCGTCGGGTGCTGGGTGGGTGTGGCCCATTGGGTGGGTGTGGCTGCAGTGGTAACAGCAGACTGGGTGGGACTAAAAAGTTCAGTTAATTCCAACTTTGTAAGATCTTTTTTTTCCCTGTGAGAAGTTGAAATTGATTGAACCTTTTTTTTTTTTTTTTTTGCACACGGCAGCGGAGGCCTAAAGCGAAAAGGTTTATAAAACCCAGCTGAAGGCCTAGGACTGGGGTGACAGCGCGCGTGCCCACAGAGAGGGCTCTGAGTGCCGCCTCTGGCACCCGTGCCATAGGTTCGCCACCACTGGTATAGGTGGTACCTCAATAGTAACTGTGAGAGGGATCTCGGAGTCCTAGTGGACAATCACTTAAATATGAGCCAGCAGTGTGCTGCAGCTGCCAAAAAAGCCAACACAGTGCTAAGCTGCATTAACAGGGATAGAATCAAGATCATGTGAAGTGTTAATACCACTTTAAAATCCTTGGTAAGATCACATTTGGAATACTGCATCCAGTTTTGGTCACCACGATGTTAAAAAAGAAGTTGAGACTCTAGAAAGGGTGCAGAGAAGAGCCAACAAAAATGATCGGGACTGGAGACTAAAACATACAAAGAATGGTTGCTGAAATTGGGTATGTCTAGTTTAATAAAAAGAAGGACTAGGGGCAGGGCTTTTTTTTTTTTGTCAGAATGCACCAGAACAGAGTTCTGGCACCTTTCTTTGATGGATTTTCCAGAGTTGCCTTGAACAAAATCCTAGTCTTTTTGATACACTAAAAATTGAAGGGACTTTTTTTCAACTATAAAGGTAAACCTTGTAGGGTAGGCAAAGCGGGTTGTATGACATATGTGAGTTCTGGCACCTTTTTTTTCCCCAAAAAAAGCACTAACTAGGGGTAACATGATAGCAGTGTTCCAATATCTCAGGGGTTGCCACAAAGAAGAGGGAGTCAAGCTCTTCTGCAAAGCACCTGAAGGTAGGACAAGGAACAATGGATGGAAACTAATCAAGGAGAGAAGCAACCTAGAACTGAGAAGAAATTTCCTGACAGAACAATTAATCGATGGAACAACTTGCCTCCAGAAGTTGTGAATACTCCAACACTGGAAGATTTTAAGAATAGATTGGACAACCGTTTGTCTGAAATGGTATAGGGTTTCCTGCCTAAGCAGGGGGTTGGACTAGAAAACCTCCAGGGTCCCTTCCAACTGATTATTCTATTCTATTCTACAACAAAAGGGTGATTAGAACTTTGATTTTGGAAAGTAATAGATTAAGGGTCCAGATATATTTAAAATTGGATTTTCGAATTAATTATAAGAATCCTTCCTGTGGGGAAATGTTTTTTGTTTTGAATTCTGTTTTTAAAAAGTGATAAGAAACTCTAAATAATAAGGGGAACCAAAAGAAACTGAAGATTACAATTAAAGAAGAAGACTTCAGTTTGACTTACTAATACAGAATGAAGCAAAATATTTAAACATTTAACTATTGAAGGATATGGACTCAGAAGTCAATTTTAAAAGTGTCTGCCTCTAGATTGACTCATAAGATTGACACTAATCTGAAAGTGGATTTAAAAATGACAGATTTAAGAACGATAAGGAAAACGATGCTACAATGAACATACAAAAGAAACCATCTGATATCTTAATAATTAAAAGGGATATTGTAGGAGAAGAACTGGCAGAGTCGAAGGGATTAAAAAAGGCATCAGTTTAGAATCATTACATCATTACAACCGCCACCACTCTCAAATGCCATTGGCCTTTTTCTATCCCTAAACTAGGTGCTGGCTATTATTTGAGAAGATTCCCGGGCATAGGCTTAGTAATAAATCATTTAATTTGAACCTTCACATGTGGACCTGATTTTTTGTGCCGGACAGATACAAATCAAGAGACTGGCCTGGACAATTTTCCTGTATTGGGTTTACAAAAGAGGCTTGTTAAAACTTTGAAGTATTTTGTGAGAAGAAAAAATGAAATAATACTTTAGGACATTTGAAATGCGCAAAGATCAAGATTGTTAAAAAAGAAAGAAAAGCAATATAAAATTGGTTTATTTGATCAAGATTAAAATAGATAACATTTAACCCTCAAAGGACTTTTGCTGATCAGAACTGAAATGGTGACGCTTTAAGGATTTTGTTTATAGATAAGAGATGGGATATGGGAAGAAATTATTTGTTTTATTTTGGGAGGAGATTAAGTTACTAAAATTGTTTATGCACTATTTGAAGGGAAACTATTTCTTTAATTTCTTATTCTTTACTATATTCTTATTTTTTTCTATTTTTTCCTGTGCTTTCTATTTTTTATCCTTTCATTTTTTTTAGTTTGTATTAGTTTTTCTCTTTTTAATTGTCATTTTTAATAAAATTACTATGAAAAAAGGGGAAGTAGAAAAAGTCTGCTTTTAGCAGAGATTTGATTTGCATGCTGAAAGCGCCAGATGTAATCACTGCCTCTCTGTGATTGGAAGTGTGCCACCAAGAGCCATCTGCTAGCAGAGTAGGTAACAGAGACCTGGAGGGATAAGCAGTCTGACCTGCTTCTCCAGCCTTGGCATCTAATAATAGACTAATCTGGAAATAGCTGCATTATGAATAAACAGAATGGGAACTGTGCCTCTTTTATTACATTATAAAAAATATTTTGTGTTTGTATTCATACCCAAAACTGAATGAATGGAAACTCCCTTGTGCTGAGGTGTCAAACAGCTAATCTTTTATTACAGGACGAAAAGAAGCAGTTCTCCTTCATTTTATTTACTGTGATGATTGTTCTGCATATCCAACCCGGAGCCCTACACAATGTACAATGGAGACTCTGGTTCAAGCAGGCCACTGCTCTTATCTGCCTAGCTGCAGGGCTGGATCTTCTACCTCAAATCATCCTTTGGCCTAGGGCAGGGGTAGGCAACGTTGGCTCTTTTATGACTCGTGGACTTCAACTCCCAGAATTCCTGAGCCAGCCATGCTGAGGGGACAGGGAGAGGTTTCCATGTTGAGCCATGCTGGCTCAGGAATTCTGGGAGTTGAAGTCCACAAGTCATAAAAGAGCCAAGGTTGCCTACCCCTGGCCTAGGGATAAATAGCTATCGGTAGATGGCTTTTTCTGATCCATACCAAAGGAATTGATGGTTTCTCTCTCTTCAGCTACCTCCTCCTACCCCCATCCCCAGACAAGGGCCTTTCAGTATTCCTTAGAACAGGGGTGTCAAACTGCCGGATGCGTCCTGGTGAAACCGCACCCACCCCATTGCCGCCAATGGAAAAAAAAGTTGCGATACGTTGTGACACATCACGTGACGTTGCGAGTTTGACACCCCTGCCTTAGAACCTCATGACCATAAGATACAAAGGTAATCTCATCATTTCCCATAACAACTTGCTTGTCTGGCATCAGTGTCTATTGCATGTTATAAAAGAAGGCAGAAAGATCATTAAAAATCTCATTGACACAACCAGGTTTGTTTTTTTCCAAATAGTCTACCCTTTTTATTATTTTTAAGGAAGCTATAAAAGAATTTTCATGGGAACCAAGACTGGAGGCCATTTCATTTAATGAGAAGTTTCAACAGCAGCCTGGAAGAAGAAAACTATGCCAACAGCTCTAAAGAAAGCCTGCCTTTCTGCGTGGCCTGAGTGAGGAAAGCTAATTTATGTCTGCTGGGTACACCAATTCATCTTTATTGCAAAGGAAGAACCTAAAAGATCTGTTCTTTTGTCTTTCGTTAGTCATCCCATGATTTAATAGAAAGTACGGGACTCTGTATTTGAAGTGATGGCTTTCTGTTTCACAAACTCCATGGGATGTATTAAAAAATCCACCACACACCATGACTGCATTTTCAGGTGTGTTGTGATCTGTAGGAGGCAAGATAAGAAACAATGGATGGAAACTAATCAAGGAGAGAAGCAACCTGGAATTGAGAAGAAACTTCCTAACAGTGATGGCAATTAACCAGTGGAATAGCTTGCCTTCAGATGCTGTGGGTGCTTCATCACTGGAGATTTTTAAGAAGAGACTCGACAGCCACTTGTCTGAAATGTTATAGGATCTCCTGCTTGAGCAGGGGGTTGGACTAGAAGACCTCCAAGATCCCTTCCAGCTTTATTCTGATTAAGACAAGTGCAGGGAGTACAGCCACAGTTCTCCAATGTGCATGCATACATGTATTTATATATATATAGTCAGGGCTTTTTTTTGTCATAGAACACCCAGAACGGAGTTCCAGCACCTTTTTTGGATGGAACCTTGTAGGGTAGGCAAGGTGGGTTGTATAATGTGTGTGAGTTCCGGCACCTTTTTTTTTTTTTTTTTTTTGCAAAAAAAGCACTGTATATATTTATATATCACAGAATCTCTGCTTGTGAGATCACTACAGTATCTGTTTTCAAGTGGTATGCTAATCCACGTAGGAAATTTGCCATTTAGAAGAGGCCCACCCCTTCATGCATTTTAAGTTGTGTTTCAAGTGGTTTCCGTGCCAGAGAGGGTGTAAAGTAATTCACCTCAGCAACTAAACCTCTACTAGCTGTCCAGGTATGCAAGGGGTGTGGCCCAACTGGGAGGTTTGCTCCTAAAGGGACAAGTAAGTCTCTCAAGTCATACAAGTAGTTCATAATTTCTATGTGCCAGTTCAGATGTTCCTAGTGTTGTGTCCCTAGGAGAAATGATAGAAGCAGAACCTAAGAGCTGAGAAGACCGGAGTTTTGCGCAGTAAGTAATTCCAATAATATTGGGGATGTCCAAGATAAATTCCTTGGGATAGGTCTGATGGGTACGACCAAAAGGACCTCTTTGTGAATCTCTTATAGTGAAGGGAGATTTGGGGAGCTGGTTAGGAACCTCACCACCACTTCCAGGGACCTTGATGGTATTTTTCTGAGTATTGAAACTGGGAATAACAGAAGAGCAGTTCCGGAATCTGGGCTTTGAATTGAGATCAAAGTAGTTTTCCTTCACCCCGTGCTTCCAGGTAGTTGAAAAGTGCAGATTTGAGTACATCGCCTATCTTTCTGGAGGGCATCAGATTTGAGGAAAACTGATCAGAACCATCAGCATTTCAACAGAAGTGGACATCGCTTCAGAAGCCAAGGGCAGCGGTTAATATATCTAGCAGGATTGTGAGTCATAATGGAGAGACTAATGATACCCAAATAAGGGTGGAATAGGCAGGCAGGAGGAAGGCTGAGGCCATATAGAATCATACAATCACAGGCCTGGAAGGGACCTTGGAGGTCTTCTAGTCCAACCCCTTGCTCAGGGCAGGAGTCATGCAACTCTGTGTGTTTGTGTGTCTGTGTGTGCGCGCGCGCGCGCACGCGCATACACACACACGCCGGGATGTCCTTTTTTCCCTGAGTTTTTGGGGGAAAAGGGGTCATCTTTTTAAAAAAATGTGCTGTGTGGTTTTGGGATGTTCTCTGCTGCAAAATTGTGGGAACAGTGCTATCAGTGGTTAGCAATTATAGCTAGAAGAGTTACCAAAAAAGGAAAATATTTGTAGCTCAGGGTCTAAATGAGGCGTCCTTGGTACTCTCTGAGCTTGGTTGGTTTTTTTGCAGATGTTTCATTACCCAAACTAGGTAACATCTTTTGGGTAATGAAACATCCGCAAGGAAACTGCCAAGCTCAGAGAGTACCAAGGGCCCCTCAGCTAAAAAAGTTTCTGTGCTCACCGCTTATCTGTTCCACATTAGAGGATAATCCTCTGCATTCCCTGAGAAGGGCACTTGAATCATGGAAACTTAATCAAAAGCTGACTCTGAAGTTGAGCAACCAGGAACTCAAAGAAAGGTTGAAACGAAGTGTGATTGTTGCAGTCTGATAATTCATTGTGTAAGGTGGAGACTGAGCTGGTCAGGAGCTCCTAATGTCCTCTCTTGATTGAGGCTGTGAAAAGTTATAATTCAGTCACAATCACACCACAGGGGTATAGTATTGCTCCTATCTGCCCTTTTGAACAGATTATTCCTAAAACCCTGGACTGGAACTGAACCCACGACCAAGACCAACAATTTGCACGTAGAAAAATGACCGATCCTTAAAACTCAGAGAAAGTGTGTGCGCGTGGCATTGTGCGTTTGAACAAGGAACAGAAAAAAGTGCTCCTGATAAATGGGTGTTCTTGGAGTTCTCACACTGCGTTCTGCTTTGTTTGCACCCATGTTGGCCAAAAGGCAGGATGTCCATTTTAAAAATGAGAAAAGAGGCTAAGAGACAAGATTGGGGAGTAACATCAAAATGCACACCGTAGCCTTAAATTCTCTGAAGGGAAGATACAGATAGTCCTCAGCTTACGACCACAATTGAACCCAGCATTTCTGTTGCTAAGTGAGACAGTTGTTAAGTGACTTTTTACTCATTTTACAATCTTCCTTGCCATAGTTGTTAAGTGAATCACTGCAGTTGTTAAGTTAGTAATACAGTTGTTAAGTGAATCTGGCTTCCCCATTGACTTTACTTGTCAGAAGTTCGCAAAAAATGTTCACATGACCCCGGGACACTGGAGACCACCATAAATACATGCCAATTGGTACAAATTCGCATTATGATCATGTGACCATGAGGATGCTGCAATGGTCGTAAGTGTGAAAAATGGACATAAGACACTTTCTTCAGTGCCGTTGTAACTTTGAATGGTCACTAAAAGAATGGTTGTAAGTGAGAGGACTACTGGTAATAGGAACTAAAACTAAATGTGGAAAGCAAAACTGTAGTAAATGATGTTGGGAAAGTCCATACTGTGTGGTCAAAGGGGTTTTGTTACTTTTGTGGGTTCATTACAACCATCCTTGGATTAGGGGCAGGTTCAAAATGAAGAATAGATTTTGGGCATAATATCCAGAACTCCTAATAAAGAACCAATATCTAGCCATGGTTTAACAATGATTCAAGCCTCCTTTGGTCAAAGGATTACCATTCTATGCTTTTTTATTACCTTGCATGCCAGAGAAAGATGTAGCATCTGTGTCATTGGAAGTACAGGGCGTCCTTGTCTTACGACCACAATTGAGCCCAAAAATTATGTTGCTAAGTGAAACATTTGTTAAGTGAATCTTGCCCCATTTTACATCCTTTCTTGCCACAGCTGTTAAGTGAATCACTGCAGTTGTTAAGTTAATGACACGGTTGTTAAGTGAATCTGGCTTCCCCATTGACTTTGGGTGTCAGAAAGTCGCGAAAGATAATCCCATCACCCCAGGACACTGCAACGTCATAAACACGAGTTGCCAAGCATCTGAATTTTGATCACGTGACCATGGGGATGCTGCAATTGTCGTAAGTGTGAAAAGCGGTCCTAAGTCACTTTTTTCAGTGCCGTTGTACCTTTGAACTCTCACTAAATGAACTGCTGTTAAGTTGAGGACTAGCTGTACGCCACAGCTACCTTTGAACATTTGTTCCTAAAGCTGCTCAAGGACAGGAAAGATGGTTGGCTGTTCTTTAAAATCCATCTCATTTGGATAGCTAGCAGAAGAAAGGGGAGATGGTTAAGCAGTGGCCCTTCTCCACCCTGAACCTGAAACCCAAAATATCACCTAACTGGAAAAAAATCAACATTTCCCATCATCACCAGCCCTTCTATATTAATTATTGCTCATAGTTGCTAGATCTGTGTGGACAAATCTGTGGCTGGATCTTTTATGTAGATTTTGCAAAGAACTGACAGTCCAGCTCCCTTTTCTCTCCTTGCCTCAAGTAAAGAGTATTTTAAGCCTTTACTTCAGGCTTTTAGCCCAAAGCACCTTGTGCAAATTTCTCTTTCCCCAAAGAACATTTGTGGTATAAAACAAGGGAGTGGTGACATTGATCAGCCATTGAAGAAAATGGCAACCCACCTTTAATAAACAAAATTGTTACCCCGTGTCATGTAGAGGTGTGGCAATTTGCAAGATTCTTAGGAAGCAACTGTGCTAAGTTATTTTCCTTTCTTTAACAGGCAGGCACACAAAAGTACACACCCTTCCAAAAAACGCCCGATGCATTGTTTTCTTATTTGCAGCACATTGCGTACATACATATGGTTTTTATTGAAATTATCATAATATAAAATACAAGGAAAACAAATATAAATGGGGAAGAGGAAAGTGGGGGAAAGAGAAGTGTGGTGTGAGGGGAAAAAGAAGAAAAAACCCCATTAACTTCCAACTTTTTCAGCACAGATAAAATACAGCCTCAACTTTTACTTTTACATACTTAGTATATACTAGCCATTTCTATAACAACAAACGTATCTAATTAAGCCTTGTTTTTAACCATGTCTTAAATAGCAATAGCACTTAGACTTATATACCGCTTCACAGTACTTTACAGCCCTCTTTAAGTGGTTTACAGAATCAGCCTATTGCTCCCAACAATCTGGGTCCTCATTTTACCAACCTTGGAAGGCTGAGTCAACCTTGAACCTGTGAGGATCGAACTGCTCGCAGTTGGCAGTCAGCAGAATTAGCCTGCAGTACTGTGTTCTAACCACTGAGCCACCACTGTTAAATGGTGGCTAGTTGTTAGAATACTCACAGTTTATTGCTAAATGGCACTATTAAAGACACAATTGCAAAGGTCTACTGATACCTTTGCAGGCTTCCTCACTAGTAAATAGATAATACATGCATGCAGCAAGCTGACTGTTTTTACTAGCCTCTCCACCAAAAGACAACAGGGGTTGGTCTGATAAACTAAGAGTGGGTGTGGTAAGAAACAGATTTTAGTTACATACCTTCCAGATACTCTGATATGGATTAAAATGCTCATAGGTAACTTATGCATTGAAAAGTTATGCTGATAAATTTTTCCTTAATGGATTGACTTCATTTTGTGTTAAGCCTTTGTACAATTTGTTTGTTTTGGCTGCCTGATTATGTGAACTCTACCAACGCTGATTTCTACACTATGGTTTACAGTTTTGCATGTTGGTGCAAAACAAGCCGTGATTTTGAAATCATGTTTTATAGTTTTGTATTGTTGATGCAAACCTAGCCAACTCTGGTTTCTAAAGCATAGCTTTCAGTTTTTCATGTTGGTGTAGAATCAGGCTACGATGGTTTCGTCAGTTAATGTACAAATAATCAAATAATAGTTTAGAGTGAGCTTTTAAAATAAACCATCGACTGCTTTTTACTCAATACTATTACTGTTGTTTAAGGCACTGCTTTCCAACCTTGCCAAATTTAAGATGTTTAAACTTCAATTTCTGGAATTCTCCAGCCAACATGCTGCTAGATTTTGGGAGTTGAAGTCCACATGTTGGCCAGGGGATTCTGGGAGTTGAGGTCCACAAATGCTGCCTAGAGGATTCTGGGAATTGAAGTCCCATATTTTAAACTTGCTGGAGTTGGGAAACACTGGTTTAATGTGTGGCATTTTCAAAAAGGGTGAGCTTTAAATGTGTTGGACTCCAGTGTTTACTCCTCATGGGAACTGCACACCAACAAACTCAGAGGGTTCAAGTCACAAAAGGGTCATCTAATGGATTCCAGCAATGAGGAATTAATTATCTGTTAGTAAAGTAGAGTAATGTATTCTGGGGAGAAACAAAAGGTTATTTCAAGTAATCTGTTTTCCTGTGTTTCCTAGGCAACAGTAAGTTTGGGCCAGGCCCCACATCAGCAGTACTGCTAAATGAACTGTTATGTTAAGCCATGGGGTATGTTTCATCATGTTTTTGGGAACAACAAACAACCTATTAGCTGGGTTTGTACAAATTCAACTGTGAACTATTGTTTACAAAGTACAATGCTTCAGTCAAATGCATCAACTTGAAACCAAGCAAATTATGTTATGGATTGGCCTATTCTGTGAACTGAGGCTATATTTGACCAAAGCTGACAAGCTCAGAGTTTCGTTCATTGTGTAAAGTCAAGCCAGGTACAATTTCTCAATCTAACCTGTCATCCAGAACTGTGGTGAAATTAAAAGGAAAGCCGTATAAGGCAGTGATGGCGAACCCTTTAGAGACCCAGTGCCCAAATTGCAACCCAAACCCCACTTATTTATCACCGGGTGCCGGGTGGGCGTGGCCGCAGTGGTCATGGCAGGCTGGGTGGGCGGGGCCAGGGCAGTGGGAGCCAGTCCCTCGCCATCTCTGAGGCATGGCGCGCGTGCCCACAGAGAGGGCTGTGAGTGCCGCCTCTGGCACGTGTGCCATAGGTTCGCCACCACTGGTATAAGGCATCCTGAGCCTTTTGGAGCATAAAATAGCATGTAGATATGTAACTGAAGAAATGTAACTAGCCCATAAATCAATACAACTGATCAGTTAATGAAGACATTAAAGAAAGTGGAAACGAACAATATATCTTTTTGGCACTGGCATTTCCTGTTTTCCTCAGAGTGGGCACCTGAAATTAGAGTTTTCCAGGGGGAAAAGTCTTGGATTTAAATTTATGTAGCATGTTAGTCCTCAGATATGAAAAATTGATTTATTTATGTTTTATTTACATTTATTTATATCTCCCTTTATTATTTTTACAAATAACTCAAGGACGTGAACATATCTAACCCACCTTCCTCCTCCTATTTTCTCCACAATAACAACCCTGTGAGGTGGATTGGGCTGAGAGAGAGAGAGAGAGACTGCCCCAAATTTACCTAGCCGGCTTTCATGGCTAAGGCGGGATTTGAACTCACCGTCTCCTGCTTTCTAGCCTGGTGCCTTAACCACTAGACCAAGCTACGATGCAAAGTGACTCATCAAATCTTGCAGTTCCCAGATTGAATTTTCCATGAATATTATTTAGGCAACTTCAGTCCAGATGAAATGGACTGGGTAGGTAAAAATTGGGGACACAGCACTGAACAGAAAATGATCCCCAAAAAGCAAAAATCTATTGAATTTCTATTTGGAACTTTTGGTACTGTGGTTTGAGTTTGGTTTTATTCTGAATGTTGACACCATAATGTTCTTGCAGTGGGAGATCAAGGATTGGCTGCTGTTCTTTTAGCTGTGAGACAAAAGCCACCTGTGCTTGGAGAGACTGCTCGTTTTCTTCTCTTCCTTTGTGAAAAGGCTGTGGTGTGAATTTCAGATATAGTTGCTGACATCATGAGTGACTCAGGAAGGTAAGTGTGTAAGAAAAAAAGAATGTATATCTTAATACTAGCATGGCTGGCTCAGAAATTCTGGGAATTGAAGTCCACGAGTCATAAAAGTGCCAAGGTTGCCTACCCCTGGTCCAAGGCATTGCGTGATAAGAGGTACCCCTGTGATTCTGTATCTGATTCTTTCTGGTTACTTCTGCTGGTGAGATCCACTCTGTGAAAACTAGCCTTGGTTTTCAGTATCACAGAAGATCTCACAGTGTGTGCCCTATTCCCCAGAAGTGTGATAAAACCCTTTTGTTTAGTAAATATTTAGGATCTGGGGGAAAAACTTCTAAATGCTATCTGGAGAACTATCACACATTGGAATAGATAAGAGAATTGTTTATAGCAGGGCTCTCCAACCTTGGCAACTTTACGACTGGTTTGTAGCACAGACCTTCCCCAATTAATCCAATTTTCAGATTTGGCATGGTAACACTGAACCAGAAACTAACTATGTTGGATTTGTGCAACACGCTTGGCTAAAATAGCATTGCCTTTTTAGGGGTTCAGAGCAGCTATGATAAAATTAGAGGGACCAGATACTTCATCAGCAGGGCTATTGTTCCTATAATCCAGGCATCTTCCAACTTTGCAACTTTAAGACTTGTGGACTTCAACTCCCAGAATTCCTCAGCCTGGCTGGGGAATTCTGGCTTTCTGGGGATTTCTGGAAGTTGAAGTCCACAAGTCTTAGTTGCCAAGTTTGGAGAGCCCTGCTATAGTCAGATAGCTGTCAGTATGTTGGTGAAGATTCTCAGTCATCCAGGTAGAGTTGTCTGGAAGTTGAGTCATAGCAACTGGGCTTTTTTTTCTTTTCTTGTTTGAAACATTTTGCTGCTTATCCAGATAGCTTAAGAAGAAGACTGAATACGCTACTTGAAAAAGCAGAGAAGCTTCAAACCAAAAGAAAAAGAAAAGAAGTCCAGTTGCCATGATTCAACCTCCAGACAATAGCTGTCAGCCTTCCCAGGTAGTCTAGACCTGACATGTCAAACTCGCGATGTCACGTGACGTCGCACAACGTATTGGGACGGTTTTGCCATTGCTGGCAATGGGGTGGGCGCGGCTTCCGGATGATGCGTCCGGCCCGCGGGCTGGCAGTTTGACACCCCTGGTCTAGACAGAAAATATGTCCAGATGAACTAATTTTACTTTATTGTAAGGCTACATTAGCAGAATCTTGCAAGTCCGAAAGTACAAATTTCTCACTTCTTTTACCATGCTTAGGTTAAGGAGTTTTTTTTTTCTCAGTTTCTTTTTCGACCTGTTATGCAGCCAAGGGTTATACCATCTCTTATCTAATTGTTCCCTAGGCAGCATCTCTCCCCTCCTTTATTTAATTTTTCAGCAGTGACAACTGCTGTTTTTGGAAAGCTTTGGAAGCCAAGATCTAATAATAATAATAATAATAGTAAAGTTGGAAGGGACCTTGAAGGTCATCTAGTCCAACCCCCTGCTCAGGCAGGAAACCCTATACCATTTCGGACAAATGGCTGTCCAGTCTCTTCTTAAAAACTTCCAGTGTTGGAGCATTCACCGCTTCTGGAGGCAGGTTGTTCCACTGGTTAATTATTCTCACTGTCAGGAAGTNAGTGTGGCCTTACCAAGGCATTGTAAAGTGGTATTAACACTTCACGTGATCTTGATTCTATCCCTCTGTTAATGCAACCTAGCACTGTGTTGGCCTTTTTGGCAGCTGCAGCACACTGCTGGCTCATATTTAGGTGATTGTCCACTAGGACTCCGAGGTCCCTCTCACAGTTACTACTATTGAGCAAGGTGCCACCTATCTGATGAAATTAGGTAACATGGCTCATGGATTTCATTGTTTCCTTCTTCAGCTTGGTGATCTCTAGGTACATTGGGTTATAAATCTCATCATCCCCAGCTAACAGTATGCTTGGGATTGATAGGAACTGCAGCACTGTATACTGAGCACTGTATACCAACTCTGCAGAGCTCCAGGTTGGGGAAGATTTATTAAGATCTTCTTCACCCTTTTCCCCAGAACCTGAGTAAGTCTTCTCAGGTGCTCACCTCGTTAAGGTAATACAAAGCTGTAGGAGACCTCTAAAGGACCCAGGAGAGCTCTCCTTGTTAGAAATTTAAGCAACCCTAATTTCTGCTGAGATGTTAGCACGATTGAAAACAATCCCGGTAATCTTCATTAGCAACTTCATTGCTCCTTGCTTAGTCACTGCCATTTCCTGTCCATCTTGCTGAGAGGCAACGCTTTTGATCATCATAATAAATACTTAAGGAATGACCATTAACTCAGATCAGAGTGTGCCCAGAGTCAATATTGTACTCTGCTCTCATTCCAGTAGCCTTTGGCAAATCCAGTGGCACAGCTGCTAGTACTACACCTTCCTCTTTTCCGCATTGACAAAGGGTGTGTGTGTCACTGGGACTATTATTCAAATGCAAGTTTGAAATTAAGGCTTAAGAGCTACTGGTTGTGGTAAAAAAACATCCAGATGGATGGGTGTAACCTTGCCTGGGGCCCACTGAGGATTAAGCAACGTGCTATTGTTTTAATGTCTTTTAAATTGTTTTAATTGTTTTAGAATTTTAGAATTGTAAGCTGCCCAGAGTCGCTTGGTTGAGTTGGGCGGCTATAGAAATTGAATGAATGAATAAATAAGTAAATAAAATCAAGTAGCACTAATAATAGCAAGGATCCCCAATCTTTACAGCTTGGTGGCCCGGCAGGGGAGAGGAGCAAGTTGAGCTGCGCGTGTGTGTGCGCACCAGCCTGCCGCACACACGGCCCAGTTTCAAATTGACCATGGTCCGGTAGTGGGCTTCCACCCAGGAGTTAGAGACCCCTGAATTATAGCATTGTTTTTGGGGATAAATTGTGGATTTTGTTGAAATACTATAAGGGTAAACCTCTGGGATTGTCAGAGAGCCTGGAAACCTAGCAAAGTTTGAGAAGGCAGGGAATTTGGACTGGAGAAGTTAGGTTGTCATCTGACTTTTCTATTTTGTCTCCCAGCTTATTTGGTGACGTTCACAAGCCCAGTGCCAGAGCCATTTATGGTGAGTTTGGGACCATGGAAATATAACCAAGGGAACGTCTTTGTGTTGGGATGATTGTTGGACTGAAAGTTATTCCATCTTGGAGATCTACCATGCTTAGCAACTCACAATTCTCTAGTCTCATCAACCACAGGGCCCATCTCCTGCTACAATGCTTTATACCTGCAATCCCTTCTCTGGTTCCAAATACCTTATCTTACATACAGCTATTGATTCTGAGTGCAGAAATCCAGATAACGACTAGATGGCAGCAAAGATTTCTGCAGTCCAAATTGAATAGGTCTAATCTAACATTCCCTTTTCTCCTCGTGGTCTTCAAGTTTCTGATTTTATTATTATTATCATTATTGATCATCGCACAGTCAGCCAGATGTTCAGACTGGATTTGGCATTTTTGTCTACGTAACGAGTCCTTACCAAGGACCTGGGATAGGCAGATGTTTGATGGTATTACAGATATTGTCGCAGGATGGAAGCAGTTCCTAGTAAGGCTGCCTTTTGCAATTGACTAATGGCGAATTTGTCAATGCCAATGGTGTTCAAGTGGTGCTTCAGTTGTATTGGGATTGCACCCAAGATGCCTATTACTATTGGTACTACTCTGGCTTGCCTTTGCCACACTTTCTATTTCTATTATTATTATTATTATTACTACTACTATTATTATTATTTACACAACAATGTGAAATCACAGCTGCCAGTTTTTTAACTGGTATGGGCCTTCATACACATGAAGTTCTTCCTAAGAATCTAGGATATCATAATATATGTGTGGATTCAGGCAATGTGGCTTTTTGTAATTAACAGAGGGAAATGTTGTCAAAGCACAGATTTCCTAAGTGCCATTCAATAATTTTTGTTATGGCACCCATAACTATTGGGTTATGGCACCTGTTTATAATCTTTCAACTTTGATTTTGATACTTTGTGAAATTCTCCAATAATAATCATAATAATGATGGTGGGTCCGTAAAATAAAGAAAGTAATAGAAAATGAAGAAGCTAAAGTGTTCTGGGACTTTAGAATTCAAACAGACAGGCACCAGCCAGACTTAACAATAGTTGATAAAAACAGTCTGGACAGTGGATACAGCAGTATCTGAAGTAACCAGAATAGAAGAGAAAGAACTGGAGAAGATAACAAAATACAAAGACCTGCCAATAGAAATAGAATGACTGTGGCAAAAGAAAGCAAAGATAGTACCAATAGCAACAGCTGCCTTGGGTGCAATCCCAAAACAATTAGAGCAGCACTTGAACACCAAGTGCTGGCAAATTCATCATCAGTCAATTGCAAAGGGCAGCTTTACTTGGAACAACTTACATCCTGTGACGATACTTCTAACCCCATCAAACATCCACATCTGCCTATCCCAGATCCTTGGGATGGACATAATAGGCAGACAAAAATGTCAAATCCAGTCTGAACATCTGACACGTTTGGTTGCAACTAAACACAATCTTGTGATTATTTAATATTATTAAAAACAACATCTATCTTAACTAGGTCACTGGGAAGGGCTTGAGAGGTAGATTGAAATGCCAAATCCAGTTTAAACATTTGGCTGACTGTGCAACCAACCAACCATAATAATAATATTATTATATGCTCCAGTAACGTCTTTTATTTATGTTTAGACTTATTCCTCCTTTCTTTCCTTTGCTCTGTTAAATACTGTGACTCATTAAGAAAAAAATGGTAATTATCCAAAAAGTACTGTAAAATGCAAATCAGTTTCTCAGGCTGTACAGTATTTAATATTAGTACTTTAGTATAGTATTTAATATTAGTATTTTTTATGAAATTCAAGGAGTTTTCTTTCAACTGGTGCCAATTTTTAAAACCATGCCTATTACATTTTCCCATGCTACATATTATTATAACATTATATTAATTTGAGATTTTACAGCACTTCCAATCCTACTTGATGGAATTGCTAAATAAATTTTATAAATAAATGAAATGCTTGTCTCTGAGGGATAATTCCCAAGTACAGGTAGTCCTCGATTTATGACTGGTCACTTAACAACCATTTGAAGTTATGACCGACCTCCAAAAGGGAATTATGGCCTGATTCCAAAGTTTCGACAGCTGCACACACACACACACACGCACACGCACACACATGCACACACACACACACGCACACACACACCACTGCAACTGGTATTACTTCCAGGTTTTGGCAAAACCAGCCCATAGCGAACTATTGGTTTGTTTAATGACTGTGGCGTTGGCTTAATGTATAATAGATTGTAAAATCAAATCAGACATGTGAGTGACCCATTTTACAATGGTCATGACTTACCACTGTGATGGGCAGGCTCCATTACCATCTAAAATTGAGGACTATCTGTATAATATCCTTTAAAGTTAATGCAGCTGAATAGGAATGAATATGTCTGTTATATATAGCCAAACTTTCTGAACCTGTGGGCAGATCTGAACTTTTATGAGCAAAGCTCATAAAGTTATAAACACTCATTTACTAGATGGCAAGTGGATGAAGCTGTTCTACCATCTCTTCTAGTCTCTGTGATCACAATCCCTGACTCAGTTTATTTTAGTGTTTTTGGTGCGGCCATTTCTGTACAAAAGGCTGAGCCATATAAACTACAATATTCTTAATGATATCTATGGGAACTATGTAAGGCCCATTTGTTTATTTTTAATTAAAAGAGCCCAAAATCTAACATAAGTCAAGTAGGATGTGGAACCTAGGACAAAATGCACACCTCGAGGGAATCTTACTGGGGTTCTAGACTATTGTAAGTGTCTACAAACGTGATTTTATGCAGTAATATGTATTTTGTATTGATTTTGTTGCCTTCTACAATATATATGTTAGGGCTATAATTTCCGTTGAGCCCAGCAGTTATGGTTATATCTGGGAAGCACTAAATCAGCTGAAGCTGCCTGTGGCTCACAAACAAGTGATTTTTGGAAGAAGCTATAGTAACATGGTCTGCACATAACTCTAAGCCAGTGGTTCTCAACCTTTTTAATGCCGCGACCCCAACCGGTCGTAAGCCAAGGACTAAACCGGTCGTAAGTCGAGGACTAAACCAGTCGTAAGTTGAGGACTACCCAACCGGTCGTAAGTCAAGGACTTTCCCTGCCCGGGAGCGCCGCGCATGCGTGGTTCCGCCCCCTGCGCTGGCCGAGGCGTAGCTGGCAAGCGGCAGAGACGAAGCAGGCCGACCACCAGCTGGCCCAGCCCAAGGGAGGTAAGGCACCCGCCAGAAAAGGGGGGAAAAAATGGCGGACAAAAAAAATGGCGGACAAAAAAAATGGCGGACAGCCTTGCTTGGCGACCCCCATGAAATGGTCGATCGACCCCAAATGGGGTCCCGACCCACAGGTTGAGAACCACTGCTCTAAGCTATAATAAGTGGACATATGCTAAGCCAAATATAAAGAAGCCACAGTATAGCTTTGGGGTCTATGTAAACAAACCATTGTTTATGTTCATGCATATTTCTATTCTGCTTGTCAAACACTTAACCAACTCAGATCCCTCCACCCCTCTTGAAGATTAAGGGAAAATATTTTTTTTTTTTAAGACATGGTGTATTTTATCTTTTCAAAAGAACACTGCATGGAGAAAAAGTGTAGATGGGGACCACTCTCCCATTCACTCAGCATGCTTCTGCTGCTCCAGGTTGGATTGTAAGCATTCCCAGAGGATGACCTTGCTTATCCAAAGAGAAAGAGTTTATATGTAATCTTCAATGCTCTTTAAACATGTTCACATCTTCATTAAAATGAGACAAAAATGAATCTAACATTTCTATACTCCTTTTGTGTCTCAAGCCAATATTTCAGTTGCGTCCGTCCTATACGAGGAATAAATTTTTTTTTAAAAAAAAATCTTTCTACAGAACAGAGGAAGAAGTATTCCAACTTCATTGTGGCAGATGTCTCCCAGTATGCTGTCAATGTAGGTATTTTTGTTGTTGTTGTTATTTTGGAGTTTAGATTGGGTTAAAGTGTGGCGAAGTATGACAGAATTGAGATTTAGAAGCTTTAGGAATTAAAGTATGGGAAGTCATTTATTTCTTGGTTAACATAGTTCTGCAAAATTCCTCCAGAATAATTTTTATGTGTATTGAGATGTCTGGGTAATATCCAGTAAGAAATTAATCAGGGCTAACTTATTATTTCCCCTTTAATTGCCACTATTTTAAAAAACATCCTTCTGAATTGCTTATTTTATATTCCACCTATTCATCTCCTTCATAAGAAATCATTTTCCTCTGGAGAAATATGAATAAAAAAATAATTTCAGGTTTTAACCCTATTAATTTACTACAGATTCATAAGGATAAGGTAAGATTTAAAAAAAAATGATGGTAACAAAATTACATGAAACAGAGGGATCCCATGGATAAAATGAGGCCTTACTGTATAACTTCCAAGCAATCTTCAACTACAGTGCTACTGTATGTAGGCTGCATTGTAGTCATTTAAACCAGGGGTCGCCAACCTTGGCAACTTTAAGACCTCTATGCACCAGGACAAGATCTTTTGGGTACCACCTGTTCACTTAGGAGTTGAGATATACAACTGGAAATCATCCACCTATTGATGACACCTGAGCCCACATCACTGGATGGTCTTGACCAACAACCTCATATAGATATTGAATACAAGTAGCAAGAGAGTCAAGTTTTGAGGAACCCTGCAAAGTAAGGGTCTCAGCCCCAGCCCCTATTGAGAGTGCCTGCTGGAACCCAGTCTGTAGAAAGGAGAACTAATGCAGTGCAATACCCCCCAACCCCCCAAAATCACTGAGAGATCAAGTGGGACCAAGAAAATCATACCATCCCTATCCTGGTTCCATCGAAATTCATTTACAAACATGACCATTGTCACGTCAACGGATATCTCTTCCTGAAACCAATGAAAGACAGGGAAGCAACAGAATTTTATGAGATATGGGGCAAATGTTACAATTGGTTAGAACTGAGGAATAAAAAAGTATGAGAAGTAATGTAAATAATTGTAAATATATGTAAGAGATATAGGACACAGTCCTGTTAACGGGAAAAAAGTGTGTATTTTGTATTTGTTTTTTGTAAAGTGAAAAAGGAAAAATTAAAATTAAAAAAAAAGAAAATGATCCAAATAATTCACTTTCTCTAGACTGGAATTGCAGCTCACCAACTTTTACACAATTTTCCCCAGGAAAAAAGAGATCAGTTGATAATTATCTAATGCTGCTGAGTCCAAGGATGGCTTCCTGAGGAGGGGATGTGCCACTGCCTCCTTCAAGGTTTGTGGGACCGCCCACTCACTCAAGAATGAATTTACTATTGCTTACATAACTTACATAACTGGTTTTCCCAGTTGCAATGTATGGCTGTGAAAGTTGGACCATAAGAAAGGCTGAGCGCCAAAGAATTGAGGCCTTTGAACTATGGTGCTAGAGAAGACTCCTGCGAGTCCCCTGGACTGCAAGGCGATCAAACCGGTCAGTCCTAGAGGAGATCAACCCTAACTGCTCTTTAGAAGGCCAGATCCTGAAGTTGAAACACAAGTACTTTGGCCACCTAATGAGAAGGAAGGACTCACTGGAGAAGAGCCTAATGCTGGGAAAGATTGAGGGCAAGAGAAGGAGGGGACAACAGAGAATGAGGTGGCTGGAGGGAGTCACTGAAGCAGTAGGCGTGAGCTTAAATGGACTTCAGAAGATGGTAGGGGACAGGAAGGACTGGAGGAACTTTGTTCATGGGGTCGCAATGGGTCGGACACGACTTCGCAACTAAGAACAACATAACTTAATCCTCTGCTATATTGAAATTAGATCCTGAAAGCCTGGTACTTCCTTCCCTTTATGTCAATATAAAATCTAGGCCATAAGACTAAACTGATGAATAAGCACAACAGAACACAAAACAGCAGAACCATAGTACGTTGTGGGAGGGAAGGGGAAGAAAAATGAAAGGAGGAAAAAAATTACCCAGGAGAGAAGTTAATGATACTGGAAGACCCGAACAGGCCTAAAATAAAATACGATTGGAGTCAAATGTGCAGGAACACATTAGAAACCAGATTAATTATCATGATGCCATTTAGCCAGCACCTTCTAAGACTGTTCAGGCTTCAATCTTCAACATGTACCGTAGTTTGGAGAGCATGGGATCATATCTGTCTCCAATACTATAAATTGGCTAACGTTTCAGAGCAAAAGTCTGCATTAAGGCATTTCAAATCACTGCTACACATTTGCACTTCCATGTGCACCTTCTGGAGAGAGAACTCAAAGCATTTTACAGCATTATTACTACATCTTGGTCTCAGTGAGATGTTGAGATGGCCTGTGTCATGGTTCCAAAAGATAGAGACAAATAAAACAGAACTCCAAGGCTTGCAAATTCCTCAAAGAACATGTTTATTAGTTACAAAGTATTGGCACATCAAAAGTGAAACCAAGTCTGGAGACACACATAATAATTCCCCAATACAAAGTTTAAAAAAATTCCACCCCTAAAACTATGCAAGCAACTACGTTCCCCAATACATCTTCTTGGTAGGCTTTTTATACAACGCCCAGCCTGCAGTCTCAGGAGCAGCCGATGACCTTGGTTCCCAGGGGACAAAAGATTATTTAGACTAGTGAAGCACTGGGCAACCCCTCTCCCTCCATTTTATGTGGCAACCGAAACTGAGTAGGAAAAATGGCTGCAGCCATGCTCATTTGTAGAGTAGACAGCCTGTGGCATATGGAAACACATAAAAATAGATGAATAACAACGTTAATGTCATATAATGAATCTGCTTGTGTCTCTCTCTTGTCTATATATTCCAGCACCTGGTGACCTTCTCCATTGGGGAAGAGGATGATTTGACATGTGTGGAAGATGCTGTCAGGAAACTGTGCATCATGGATAAGCAAGGGAAGGTCTGGGTTCAGGAGATGTTGCTTCAAGTCAGCGGGTCGGCTATCAAGCTCCTTGACATAAACTCAAAGGTGCAGAAACTTACCAAGAGCAGCAATATTGGGTGGCTAATGAAGATTTGGGGGAGAGATGGGTGTTACCTCCAGAAGAAACTGGACAGCCATTTGTCTGAAATGGTATAGGGTTTCCTGCCTGAGCAGGGGGTTTAATAACATTATTATTATTATTATTATTATTATTATTATTATTATTATTATTATTATTATTATTATTATTATTATTATTATTATTATTATTATTACTACCTGTGTCCCAATTCCTCTTCTTTGGAAAGAGTCTATGTTAGATGGATGTCCTTGATTGTCTTTCTTTCCCCCACTAGGAGGAACTGGAGAATTATGCATTGGCAACTGTGGCTTATTGTGATGCTGTCTGCCCTGAGTCTCGCTCCCGATCCTTGCTTCTACTCATGTGCCAGGAACCTACTCAGCTCAGACCAGATATCCACTTCTTTGAGTGTGATCAAATTAGGGTAAAAGAATTGAGCCTATCAATCCACAAATAATATTTAGAGAATGATCCTATGTAATTACTCAATTCTACTCAGTATAGAAAATTTACTTGACATGGGGATGGCAACTATTCAGTGGTTGGGGATGAAATTAACATTTTAAAGGAAAGACAAAGTTCATAGATGTTGGGGCCATGCCATACACAGGGGAGGTTCTCCCCCCCCCTTAACTTTCCCCTTTTTAAAAGAGGAAATTCTACTTCTGATGTTTGACCACTGTGTTTTGAAGGGTCTGAGCGTTATAACATGGTGCCCATAAGCAGCCCAGAATCCTGACCTTGCCCAACCCTGATCTACAGCATGGGGATTTGGGACAAGGGAAGAGTTCTCAACAGAAATTTGATCTGGTTTCTCCTTTGCTTGGCAGGCGGAATGGATCCAGCAAGACATCAGTAGTGCCCTGCTGGACTTCAACACAGGAGGAAATACCCAACGGGCGGAAGCCTTAAGGTACATGCACAGCCTAAGACCCATGGCTGTGATAGGACAGCTTCAAAGGCCAAAGGTCACATTACTCGTAAACAAGAAGTCACATCGGAGAGTTTCTTATCAAAAACAGGGGTGGGGAACTATGGCCACTTTATGACCTGTGGACTTCAACTCCCAGAATTCCTGAGGCAGCCATTGCTGTAAGAAAAGTTGATTCCCATCAGAGCTGTGTGGTGGGCGAAAGCCCATAACGTCTTCCTTACCAGCTGCTTTTCCAGTGTAGATTTCTCTCTGTAATCACATCATCATTACAAGTTCACCCTCCCCCAACCATCTCCACCATACAATTTGGACTCAGAGAGAAAGTAGGATTGCTTAGTTATAGGTAATTCTCGACTTACAATCACACTGGAACCAAAATTTCCATTGCTCAGCAAGGCAGATGTTAAGTGAACCAATTTTATGACCTTTTTGCCACAGTTGTTAAGCAAATCACTGCAGTTGTTCAGTGAATCATTCGGTCCTTAAATGAATCTGGCTTCTCCCATTGACTTTGCTTGTTGGAAGGTCACAAGTGGTGACCCTGGACACTGCAGTTGTCACAAGTACACGCTAGTTGCCACCACCTGAATTTTGATCATGTGACCTTGGGGGTTGCGGCGATGATTGTAAATGTGAGGATCGGTCATGTCACTTTTTTTAGTGCCATTGGCACTTCAAATGGTCACTAAATAAATGTTGTAAGTCGAGGATTATCTGCATCCGGACTAGCCTTGCCATTTTTCTTTCTATAGCAGCTTGCTATGCAGATTTTGAGAGCTTATTTTATCATGTTACCGTCATGCCAAGAAAAGCTTCATGTACCATATTTCTGACTGGAGGCTGCTATAGAATACATAGCAATACTTTGATTTGAAAAAAAAACATCTTCCTGGGATTACAGGAGGGAAGATGGAAACTTAGAAATAAGGAGAAATTTCCTGACAGTGAGAACAATTAATCAGTGGAGCAACTTGCCTTCAGAAGCTGTGGATGCTCCAACACTGGAGGTTTTTAAGAAGAGATTGGATGTCTATTTGTCTGAAATGGTACAGTGTTTCCTGCTTGAGCAGGGGGTTGGACTAGTAGACCTCCAAGGTCCCTTCCAACTCTGTTATTCTGTTAATCAGTCATGGGTTGTCTATAGAGACCTATTATAGATTCTTATGTTGCTGACTGAATGGTGTGGAATGTTATATAAATCAGAAGCCAACTTGTCTCTCTGGGGTTGAATATGACCCCAAAATTGCTTTTGAGCATTTCCCCCCCAAACCATGTATTTCTTTCTCATTGTTTTGACCAGGAAAAGCTCGATCCCCATATACAATACAATACATAAAACACAAAGATCCTCACCCTCAAGCTCTAAAGCAGGTGTCTTCAAACTTGGCAACTTTACGACTTGTAGACTTCAACTCCCAAAATTCCCTAGCCAGCATAGTTTTAAGACTTGCAGACTTCAAGTTTAAGACACAGCTTTAAGACTTGTGGACTTCAATTTTAAGATTTGTGAACTTCAACTCCCAGAATTCCCCAGCCAGCTACGCTATGGGATTCAACCATGGGGAGCTATACAGGTCAAGTCTTAAAGTTGCCAACTTTGGAGACCCCTATTCTAGAGGGGAAAAGATCCCATCTCTACTTACATAGTCTTACCCAAGTTGCAGTATTGCCCCATTTACTATGTCCCTGAGGTTCCTTCAACATTCTTGATCCTCAGCCAACAAAATATTGCCTACCCCCAGCCTGGAAGTTACACAGGCCACGTGTAAGATGGAAGGAGGTTGCGTTATCCACTGGATATCAGTCTTTCCCTTTGGATCTCAGGCCCTATGTTTTTTGTTTACAGAGCTGCCCAAAACATGCTTGATAATCAGGAGATCTCTCGGCCTCCTGTGCAGGTTCCTTCTAGGACAAAGATTGTTGCACCAGGGCCAAGAGAAGACGGTAAGAACCTTGAAGACTAAGCCCCACAACCTTTTATGGAGGAGGACATTTGGAGAAGAATCATAACTCCTTGGTAAAATGTATGCCATCCATCCAGGTGGCCCTTAAGGCCACTTTCTGGCATTTCCAGTTAAGTGGATACTGCCCTAAAAAAGCTATTGCAGCTTAGAAGAGATTACAGGCTACATCAACCAAGGTTCTGACATAGCATTAAGGAGTTTTCTAGCTTCCTATATTAATTGACTTTAATGGGACCTTCTTCTAGAACAGCTTACAAGATGTCATGTTTCACTTCTATATAACTTACTTTCTGTTTGAGTTGCAGGGAATGATCCAGGAATCCTTCCCATCAAGATCATTTCAGCCACAAATAGGCCTGTCTAAATCTTTGTTTGGTCCCTTCACAATTTGTCTGGTTTTCCCCCCACACACACCTTTTTCTTTGACTAAAATAAACATGGTATACAAGATCCCCCCCAAAAAATGTTGGCCTCATTCTTAAGGCTGTTGCCATGGCACTGTTGTACACCCTAGTCATCAGAGACCAAAGACCAGGAAAGTGAGGTTCCTCATATCGCCCATATGGTTGTGGGAGTCACAGAAGAAGACACAGCTGCATAGTCTTTTCCTGCCACTGAGCTCTTCAAGACAGATTCATCCTCTTTCCATCCCAGCAAAGTTTATGAGCACTAATGTCCTAAACTCTTCATTTTCTCTCCTGCTTCCAGCCATGTTGGTAGGAGAACCTGATCTGGCCTCCATCCAAATAGAGCAAAATGTGGTGAGTTAAATGGGAAAATTAATTCTTGCTGTTGGTTTTTATATAAATGAGATTTGGAGAAGGGGATAGAAAAGCAGAGATGGTCGTTCACTTAATGACTATGGCATTTGCTTAATGAGCACAAATTCACTTAATGACCCCTGCAAGAAAGATTGTAAAATTGGGCTAGTCATGTGATTGACTTGCTTTATGACTGTCATGAGTTATGACCATGATGGGACGGTTCCATTACAGTCATAAGTCAAGGACTCCCTGTAAGAGGTTTAAAAAGTGTGACAACGAAGCTAGCAATCACAGTACAGCAATCAACAAGTGACCCTACTCAAAGGGCGTCCAAATTCACTTTATTTCCCAAAGACCTTTCAGAAGAGCCATGCTCTCGTGTCACTTGTTCCTTGCTCGGTACAAAAAAATATATATTTCTTTTTCATTCTCTTTATTGCCTGTGTGTCTCTGGCAGGAACTGCTAAACAATGTTTTTGATGATGTGGAAGCCTTTGTGAGAAAGCTGCAGAAAGCTGCCGAAGCTTTCCGTGTCCTGAATCAATGCAGGCGCTCTGGAAGACGGCATCTTCGAGAGCCAGGAGGTGAGAAGATTGGCTGGGAATGCAGAAGGTTGCTAGGGAAACAGGAAATGCTTCTCAAGTCTGTCCCAATCAGAATCTTTCTGTGAGTTCTAATTCCAGAATGATTCCAGAACTTACATATCCCATCAATTAGAGATGCACATCTGATGAGATCAGGAAAAGGTCCTTCTCAGTGGTGCCCCCTTCCTTATGGAACGTCTTCCCCTCCCTCCCCGGCATGTGATGGGGCCCGCCATGTTGCTTTTCCAAAAGGCGCTAAAAATGTGGGTTTTTTTAGCTGTGTCTGGGATCACTAAAAGAGATGGGCCAATCAACTTGCTGATTTGATTGTGTTACTGCTGCCATGTATGTGTGCATGATTTTTTAAAATATTTTTATTACATAGTGCAAAATGTTGTAAGCCCACCGGAGTCATCTCTGTGTGAGTTGGATGGCGATATAAATTTGTTTAATAAATAAACAAAAACAAATAACTTCACCAGACTCCACAAAATACCATTATGGCTTTGAAACTTTTCCCTTCCGCCATGGGCCTCTGCAATGGATCTCCTGACAACTTCAGAAGTGCCTCACGTAGATGCATTATTCTTTGTTTTTGCACAAGTCAGATGAGCTTCTTGGCCAAAAAGTTTTTAGAGACACTAGTTCTAAAATACAGATCCGAGGCCTACAAACATAATTAGACTATTATAATGGAGAGTTATTTCTGCATCAATATGGTTGAGTTGCTCTGTGTAGATTTCTAGAACCAAGACAAAAACCCTGATTTTCTCAATCTAAAAAAAACAAAGGATTTGAGTCTTAGGGGTGGAAGTTCACCAGCCCCCAAAATAGATAAAGTTGCAGGGAAAGTTTTACTGGGTTTTTTTTCTTTACTACAACCATAGAGGGACTCTTAACCATCAGAGCAAAACCCCCATCTCAAGAGGAGTTTGAAGACACTCTGTCCAAGACCAAATATTCCTTCAGCCTTCTGGTGAGTTTTGTGTATAGTTTTTTTTCTCTCCCAAGGAAATGGAAGATACCTCCTTGGATTATGCTTACAACTAAATTATACTTTTCCCCACCACCACGTAGGCAAGGCTGAAATCTAAAATCATTAACCCTACTTCGGAGGAGCTACTATGTATTCTTTTCAAGCCCTTGAAGATGGTAAGTGCTGAAGAAGAGGAGTAAATGAGGTATTTGGTAGATGAATTAGTAATAGTGTATTTCTCAGTCTTACATCTCCCAAATTGTGGATTTCAACTCCCAGAATTCTCCAGCCTATATGGACATGACATAGAATTCTGGAAGTAACTAAGATTGGGAAACAATAGATTTGTAAATATACATGGGCAGTTGGATTGTAAAAGCAGTAGAATGATATGAAATTGTGTTAAGGGACTACACTATTTAAATAGCACATGTGAAATGTGAAGCTGAATTCCATGGGAATAGGGGAGAATTCCTGCACAACAAAAAGCAAGAAGGCTTATTACAGTACACTTTCTCTGAATTGCTTGGTTTTTGTATCCTTTTTTAAATAAAATACTTTGGGCCTCAGTTCCATTAGTTGCAGAATTGTGTAATACGGTATAATTCATGAAAAGCTTTATCATGGGATTAAGTTGCATGTACCAATGATTCCTAGATCAAGGCTTTTCAACCAGTGGTACAGGTACCACCTGTGGTACATTGGCACCTGGCAGGTGGTACGCGACCATCCTAGAAAAGTGGTAGCGGGAGAGGGGAATGAGCTGAACCGCTGACAGCACCGCACAAGCCTGAGCGAGAGATGGCTGGAGCTGCAGGGCTGTCAGGGCTCAGTGGAAGCACCAGGATCAGCACCAGGCTCCACTGGAGTTCGGCGCTGATCCTGGCGCTTCAGCTGAGCCCTGAAGAAGCACCAATCAGCTGGAAAGCAGCACTGATCCTGGCATTTCTGCTGAGCCCAGAAGAAGCGCTGATCAGCTGGAATGTTGCAGCATCTCCAGGGTCTTGTGATTTGCATTCAGATGCTTGGCAACTGATTCATATTTATGACAGTCACAGTGTCCCAGGGTCACGTAAAGTGACCAAAACCTGCTGAAACCACCCAGCAGATGGGGGGAATAAAAACCAAACACCCCCACCCCACCCCACCCCTGCTGCCAATCCTCAACAGAAATGCGCGCAACAATGAAAACCTCGGACAGGAGGAAGAGCACCGCTAGGTGGGCAGGCAGGTGTCTTGCTCGGCTGTGGCTTGGGGGGGCACTTTTTTCAGTGCCATTGTAACTCCAAACAGTCACTAAGCGAACTGTTGTAAGTCGAGGACTACCTGTACTTTATCACTTTTTTCCTTTTTTGGGGGGGGGGTCATCAAGTTTTTGACACCGTGCTAGGCGACTGGTGGTACTCGGATATTGCCATATCCTAAAAGTGGTACAATGGGTGAAAAGGTTGAAAAGCCCTGTCCTAGATGAGTGTATTAGTAAATTTCTCTGGGAGAAGATCGAGTCTCCAGGGGAAAAGATAATCTGGATTCTGATTCTCATTTCCCATTTCAGATTGTGGATGCTTCTGGGGGTGTGGAATTTGCTTCTGAACTGCGCAATCCCATGTTAACTCTGGAGGCCGTGACTTTGATGCGAAGCTGCTTAGGAGAACAGGAAACAGAATTCTGGCATTCTCTGGGTGAAAACTGGACTAAGCCCAGGTAAGGGGACTTGGGTTAGTTTTCCCTTGTTATTATTTTTGCCTTCTTAATTTTTTTCCCTTTGGGATGTGGTCTAATCTACTCACTTCCATTTCTTCCTTCCGCAGTCTTCTAAATATTGCAACTTCCATGTCCCTTTCTTGATGCTCTTGGCTATTTAATTTTAGTGAAATAGCTCCCTCTGAAGTGAAGTGATGTCACAGATGATCTGGACCTTGATCTGTTAATTACTTAACAAGTAATTGCAAACTTTGGCATTTGGATTTCAAAATCTTCTCAAACATGTTGAGAATTAGACCAAATCATTTATGACACAATGTGGTGGGATAGTAGTAGTAGTAGTAGTAGTAGTAGTAGTAGTAGTAGTAGTAGTAGTAATAATAATAATAATGATGATGATAATAATAATGATGATA